TTTGCCCCGCGTTACGAAGGCCAAATGGCATGACAAGGTATTCAAACAGGCCGAATGGCGTGATTACAGCCGTTTTCGGTATATCATCGGGAAAAACTGGAATCTGGTGAAATGCCAGATGTAAATCGATTTTCGAAAAAATTTTTTTATTGCGAAGATTCGATGCAAAATCTTGCAAATAGGGCACTGGATATTTGTCTGGGATTGTGACTTTATTTACCCCTGTATAATCCCCGCATAACCTCCATCCCCCCTCTTTCTTTGGAGCCATGTGCAATGGTGCAGCGAAGGAAGCGCTCGATGGACGGCAAGTGCCGTCGTCGCACATTTCCTTGAATTTCTGCTTGGCGAAAGCGAGTTTTTCAGGCGGAAGACGTCGAGGAGGAAATGCTATTGGAGGGCCATGGGTTTCGATGTGATGATAAACATCATCGAAAATTGTGTTCGGTTTTTGAGGGGGACCCGTGACTTGTGGATACATCGCAAATATGTATGCAAAAGGTGAATCCTTGTCTATTACGCTCACGCCTGTTACCGTTACTTGTTTAAACTTGCACGATGCGTTTAAATTATTTGCAGTATTAATTAACTTTTTTCTTTTCAGGTCGACGTTTAAACCGTAGTGAGATAAAAAATCGGCTCCCAGGATCGGGTAGGGCACGGCCGCTACACAGAAATTCCAGATCAGATTATTTTTTAATCCAAAGTTCAATGTTAATTTTCTCTCTCCGTATGCGTTTATGCGCGAATTATTCGCGGCATAAAGCGCATGACTGGACGGACGTAACTTGGCTTTGGAATCTGCTGGAAGTAACGAGATATCCGATCCTGTGTCTATTAGGAAGGTTAATCCCGAGTCGCGATCTCGGATGTGCAACCTTTTTGAACCGTTTAGAGCACTGCAAACTTCTACGCGCCGCGCGCGTGTTTTTGAATCGTCGGATTCTTTTTTAGCATACTTGCAAGGTTTTCGGCATTTAATTGCGGCTTTTCCGAATTTTTTATGAAAGTAACAAACGGATTCATCGGTATCATTGTTTGAGTTTCGATTATCTTTATATCGTGGTTCGGATCGAGAGCGAAATCGATTTTGTTTCTGCGGAAACGATTTGCGTTGTGCGGTGAGCGCGTCGACTTTAGCGTTTAAATTGTTTATTTTATCGAAAATGGTTTCAGATTCTTTTTCGGTTTTTTGTGATACGGAACACGATGAACATTGGCCGGTTGCCTCCATGAATCGGTCCGCGGCTTCGGCGAGTTTTTGTAAATCAGTTATTTCAGATAATGCTAATGCTGCGCGACAGGTAGTCGGCAATTGATCTAAAAAGACTGTTTTTAGAATTTCATCGCTGCATTTATCCTGACTTAAATTTCGCATGCGACTTAGAATTAGAGAGGGTTTTCCGTCTCCCGTGAGATCTCCCTTCAGTAATTGTCTAAGTCTCGCTTCTGACGAAACCGAAAAAGATGCTATAACGCGTTCTTTAATTTGCGTATATAAATTGGGGCACGGTGGGTCACTGGTAATTAAATCGCTAATTGTCATAGTGACTTCATAATCTAATACTGAAACTACTGCTCCGGCCCTGGCACGTTCCGATGTAAATCGCGCATAATCGAACATCAACTCGGCCTGAGCAAACCATAAGTTTGGATCCGCGCGAAAAAATCCGGGTAATTTTGGTACGCGGTAATTTACTGGTTCCACGCGTGCGACAGGATCGCCTATAATTTCGCCTTCGTTCTCCATGTTCAGGATCAGGCCGTCGCCCGCTCGATTTGGTGGGGGTGAAGTCATTTGTGATTGAGGACTTTTGTATTCGTCATCCGACATCACAAAAATAAATGCCAGCGCGAGTGCAACGATTAGCACTAAGAATATTTTAAAGCAAATTCACTGAGTGTAACCGTTAATTATTTAATTAATTTTAAAAAAATTATAGGGACAATAGATGGATTAATCCCCCATTCCGCTTGTCGAGCAATTTTCCGTCGAATTAATTATTGGTTAAATTTCGCGAATTTCAAAATTAATAATAATATGTCACAAGCGCTTGAGTTTCGTTTAGAATAAATTAAAATTGTTTTATTTGTCGAAAAATAAAATTAAAATTATCTTGAGGCATCTGTTGTGCCATGCGCCATTGAAGATCGTGATTTTTCGAAAAGGGGAAAAAAATACGGTTTTTCGTCATTTAATTATCGGCTGTTGGTGGTTTTTTTCTAAATTGTCTATTCGCATAAGATATTTTACGGTAAATTGATAACTTTGAGAAAGAAAAAAAATTTTTTGCGAAAATTCAAAATGGCTACCATTTGAGCACGTGTAGACGCGCGTGAATTTTATCGATTAATTTAAAGAATTTACGTTAATTTTTCAAATAAATAATTATGGCTTTAAATTTTGACAATTAAAAATAATAAAAAAATCAAATCATACGCTTTTTTACAACGAAGATGTCCCTCGGTGTCGGCGATCCGGGATGGCGTTGATCCTCGGTGCTGGTGATGGCGATTTGACAGGCGTTGTCCTCAAGATTTTTTTTTAACTGCAGGAATTGGAACAGCTGCTTAGTTTCGGGAGGTTCCTCGTGAAAAACTCTCAGGAACTCAGCTGGATTGCAATTTCCTTGCAGGCGTAGTCGAGTCGTTGAATGCGTCAAGGTCAGGAACATAATCAAGTAAGCTGTAAACAGTGTGTGACTTTAGCAGGTTGCAAAAATCAGAAAAATAACTGGATTTGGTTTGACTGGATCCAGGATATTTTGCTTGGTACTTTGTGAGAATTGGATTGCTGCAGGAAGTGGAATTTGAGGTATTTTTGTGAAGATTGTAGACACTCCGAAAAATGGCGGCTTGGCGGGAACAGGTTCCGTGGAATTTTCCCCAAAGCGTTGGCCTCCTGGTTTTCAAGCACTTGGCGGTAGACGAAATATCCAAAGATGCGAAAGAAACTTTTTTTGGTAATGTTTTCGTCGTTGTGGCAAGGCTCGGCACAAGTTTTTTTTGGCTTCTCGGGTGTCGATCGATAATGGCGTCACTTCAACCTCGTGGCAGCTTCCTCGTGGCGAAAATTATTTCCGCGTGGCCGACTATCACGTCGGGGTCACCAATGTGGGAAATTTGATAGGAAATCAGAAGGTTTCCCAACTTTAGACGTGTCGAAATAATAAGGCACTTTATATTTATTTAATTAATATTTAATGCAATGCCAATTACTCTCCTTATACAATCGTGTCAACTCATACACGGTCCCTGACTAGACTAAACGATTACAATTAGCATCGTCGTCGCGTTGACCACCAACCGCGCGCATGCGCATTCGTGCGCTCTAACTTCTGCTCGCGGTATGGACGAGGTGCGGTGAGGTAGAAAGGGGTTGGTTCCCTACATCCAGAGGTCGCCGCTAGATGGCGCCACTTTATTTTGTCGGTACAGTTAAAGTCGCTTGGAAATTTAAAAATCTATTTTATCGACCGAGATAGTTTGGGCTGCCACCAATAGATGGCGCCACTTAATTTTTAAATTTCCCTCCGAATTCCGTGAGCATGTTAGTTTGGGCTGCCACCACTAGATGGCGCCACTTAAATTTTAAATTTCCCACCGAATTCGCTGAGCACTCTAGTACTGGCAGACATTAATAGATGGCGCCACTTGATTTTTGAGTTTCCCACTCAATTCTCCAAGCATTTTAGTACTGGCTGCCACCAATAGATGGCGCTATTTAATTTTGTCAATAAAGTTAAAGTCTCTTGGAAATTTAAAAATCTACTTTATCGACCGAGTTAGTTCGGGCTGCCACCAATAGATGGCGCCACTTAATTTTTAAATTTCCCTCCGAATTCTCCTAGCATGTTAGTTCGGACTGCCACCAATAGATGGCGCCACTTAATTTTTAAATTTCCCTCCGAATTCCCCTAGCATGTTAGTTTGGGCTGCCACCAATAGATGGCGCCACTTAATTTTTAAATTTCCCTTCGAATTCCCTGAGCATGTTAGTTTGGGCTGTTACCAATAGATGGCGCCACTTAATTTTTAAATTTCCCACCGAATCCCCCTACCGATTTAGTACCGGCTACCACCACTAAAAATTTTGCACATGTTTTAATTTGCTGCTGAGTGATCGCACCTTGGTTTTTCAACAACTTTGTTTTGCGAAGTTTGTCTGCGAATTCCCCTTCACTCTCTACGAGTTCAACCGGTGATTCCCCTGCCTTTGACAAAGCGCTCAGAGGTAGGAGAGATGAGTTTCGCGCGACTGAGGAGAAGTAGTAAGGGACGTTGACGTAGTGGGGTGCAGTGAAAGGTGGGGGTATTGGGTATAAGTCGCGGGCCGGGGAAATTCTCAAGCCACTTCTTTTCACAGGTGTAGCAGAGTAGTTCTACGAAGGAGAGTTCTTGTTTTAGGATATTTTTTATTTTTTTTATTTTCAGCTCTATTTTTCTAGGTTTGTCTCTTCTATTTTAGGTTTATCGTTTTGAGGTTATTTTTCAGATTTTTTTAGTTTTATTTTCAGCTCTTATTTTACAGAAATTTTTTTTATTTTTATTTTTTCAGTTTTTTTTTAAATTTAGGTACCGTGTGTTTGTATAGTTTTGGTGTTTGTCTTTTTTTTAGCTTTTTCAGGTTTTTTTTATTCTTTTCTTTTCAGCATTTGTTTCTTTTACTTCAGGTATTTATTTAATTTTTTTTATTAATCTTTTTTCAGCTTTTTTTAAATTTAGGTATCGTGTGTTTGTGTATAGTTTTGGTGTTTGTCTTTTTTCAGCTTTTTTTTTTTATTCTTTTATCTCAGCATTTGTTTCTTTTATTTCAATTTTTTTTAATTTTTCAGCTTTTTTTATTTATTTCTTAGGTTTCTTTAGGATAGGTTTTAAAAATGCCAAAGTGCAAATTATCGAAAAAAATCGCGACAACGAATTGAAATTGGTGATTACAATGAAGTATGTCAGGAATCTGATAACTTTATAAAATCGCCGAACGTCAACTCATCTCTACGATGGCAATGATTGAAGACGAGAAACTTATTAGTGCATTCGAGTGGCAAAACAAGTGTCAGCGCTATAGAAATTTATTCAGAAAATTTTTGCGACGATCTGATTTGTCAACGTCTCAAAAATCAAGATGTTTAAATTTAAATCAAAAGCTTGAATACTTGCGTTACCATTTTGATGCATTAATGAAACGCGGTGAGGGTGTGCAAATATCTAATGATAGAATGAAATGGGTTGATTTTGACGAAGCATTTCATGGTCGGTTATAAACTAGTGCTATTATAAATCTAGATTACAAGGATATTAACGAGTTCCTTGATGATGCCTATGTTTTGTTTAAATTAAATATTGAAAAAGCTTTAAGCAATTATGGTCCATTGAAAGTGTATACAGTGTTAGGCGCGAAATTTGTAAAATTATCGATTGATGGTAAAGAAGAAATGTATGATTTAATGACATTTATCGCGAAAACGGATGAAATTTTGTTAACAACCCATTTAGATGAGTGGTATAACGTTAATGTTAAACAAGTGACTTTGAAAAGAATGGAAGATTTTCAAGAGAAAGATTCTAATTGGAAACTTCAATCTATTCAAAGATTAGAAGTTAACATTAACATGTACAACCCCATGCATGCAAGTTCTTACATTGATTTACCATCTGCTATTAAAAGCAAGCAAGCATGCATTAATATTCACAATACAGATAACCAATGTTTTAAATGGTCAATCTTGTCAGCCTTACATCCAATTGAAAAACATTCGGATCGAGTTGCAAAATACAGACAGTTTCAGGATACACTTAACTTTACCGGAATTGAATTTCCTGTTGCGCTTAATAACATTTCAAAATTTGAAATGTTAAACAACATTTCAGTTAACGTATATGGTCTAATTAAAAGAAGTAACAAATTTACAGTTTCACCTTTACATCTTACATCACAAAAGAGATTAAATCACGTTAATCTATTACGAATTGAAGACCATTACATCGATGAAAATAAAGTTGAGGAAGAAGAAAACGAAAATATACTTATTATCGCATTTAACTGGCACTATGTATGGATTAAGGACTTGTCTAAGCTGGTAAGCACACAATTATCAAAGCATAAAACCAAGAAATACATTTGTGACCGTTGCTTACATTATTTTGGAGAAGAATTGAAGCTAACTGAACATGAAGAAAATTGTAGGAAGATGAATGATACCAGAATTAGACAACCAGTACCAGGAAAAAATTTTCTTGAATTTAAAAACTTTCAAAACAAAGAGCGTGTGCCATTTATTATTTACGCAGATAGTGAGAGCCTTTTGATTCCAGCAGAAAGACCACAAGAAGCAAGCAATACAGAAGTTTTTCAAAATCACAAAACACTTAGTATTGGCTATTACTTAAAATGTGGTTTTAACGATTCACTCTCTGTATATAAAGCTACTCCAAAAGATGAAGATGATCCGGCTAAATGGTTTTCAAAGGAATTAAAGGATTTGGCTGACAATGTTGATGCGCGGTTTAAAAATCCAGTGCCCATGGAAGTACTAAGTGCACAGCAGTTGGTAAATTTTAAAAATGACAAAACATGTCATATTTGTAAAAAGAAAATCGCACATGGGGATGTAAAAGTAAGAGACCATTGTCATCTAACAGGGAAGTATCGTGGAGCAGCTCATCGCGATTGTAACATTAATTATCATGAATCTCAGGTCATACCTGTTGTTTTTCATAATCTTAGTGGTTACGACGCGCATTTTATTATCAAAGCTATAGCTACCGAGTTTGAAGGTGAATTGACTTACTTCCAATAAACAAAGAAAAGTATAAAAAAATGAATAAAAAAATATTAAAAATAGTTTTGTCAAGTTTCGATTCATAGATTCATTTAAATTTATGGCATCATCATTGGACAAATTAGCATCTTATCTCAACGAATATAAAATTGTTAATTCTGTTTTTTCTAATTACAGCGACGACAAAATTCAATTGTTAACGCGAAAAGGAGTTTTTCCTTACGAGTACATTGACTCGAGGGAAAAACTCGATGAGACTCAATTACCACGTAAAGAAAATTTTTATAGCACTTTAAACGATTCAAATATTTCCGATGAAGATTATGTACATGCGCAAAAAGTGTGGAGTGAGTTTAATTGTAAAAATCTCGGTGATTATGTTTATTTATACATGCCAACTGATATATTGTTACTCGCGGATATTTTCGAAAATTTCCGAAATCAGTGTTTATTAGCATACGGTCTTGATCCAGCGCATTATTATACAACGCCTGGACTCACATGGGATGCTATGTTAAGGTATACGAATATAAAATTAGAACTCCTCACAGACATTGATATGGTGATGTTCATTGAACGTGGAATAAGGGGTGGGGTGAGTCAGTGTTGTAATCGTTACGCTAAAGCGAATAATCCTTATATGGAACATTACAATGAGAATGAGGAAACATCTTATATCGTATACTTTGACGCAAACAACTTGTATGGTTGGGCTATAATTCAGTCACTTCCATATGGTGGTTTCGAGTGGGTAGAAAATGTCGATAATAATTTTGATTTTAACGTTCTTGATGATGATGCACCAATTGAATACATTTTGGAAGTTGACTTAGATTATCCCGATGAACTTCATGAAAAACATAGTGATTTTCCGTTTTGCCTTGAACGCTCGAAGCCACCAGGATCAAAAGAACAAAAACTTCTAACTACCCTCCTACCTAAACGAAAGCACGTTCTCCATTACCGTGCTTTAAAACAAGCTATTGCCAGCGGTCTGGTATTAGTTAAAATTCATCGCGTTTTAAAATTCAAACAATCAATGTGGTTAAAAAGTTATATTGATTTTAATACCATGCAGAGGACAAATGCAAACAATTAATTCGAAAAGAATTTATTTAAGTTGATGAACAACGCAGTATTCGGTAAAACAATGGAGAACGTGCGAAAACACGTTGATATTAAACTCGTTACAAAGTGGGAGGGTAGATATGGAGCTGAAGCTTTAATCGCAAAGCCTAACTTTTACAGCAGATCAATTTTTAATGATAATTTAGTTGCTGTTGAACTTAGAAAAATGGAGGTTTTAATGAACAAGCCTCTCTATGTCGGCTTAGCAGTCTTGGATGTTTCCAAAACATTAATCTACGATTTTCATTATAATTATATGTTAAAAAAGTATGACGAAAAAAAATTGAAATTATTGTACACCGACACCGACAGCCTTATTTATGAAATTAAATGCTCAAACATTTATGAAGATATGAAAGCAGATATTCACATGTTTGATACTTCAGATTATCCGATTAATAACGTTTACGGTATTCCGCAAGCCAACAAAAAAATTTTAGGACTTATGAAAGATGAGTGCTGTGGCAAAATTGTCACTGAATTTGTTGGTTTGCGGAGCAAAATGTACAGCGTCCGGGTTGAAGAGAAAGATTTCATAAAGAAGGCCAAAGGTGTAAAAGCTGGAGTTGTTAAGAAAAATATTGTTTTTGATGACTATGTATATTGCCTGCAAAATATTGAAATTCAATCTAGAATCCAGTATTCTATTAGATCAAAACTGCAGAATGTTCAAACATTAAAACAAACAAAAATTGCATTGAGTCCTTATGACGATAAGAGGTATCTATTGACCAACAGTACAGACACCCTTGTATGGGGACATTATAAAATTGTAAAAATTGATAATGATGATATGCCAATGTAAATATATATAAAAAAAAAATTTGTCGGAAAAAGAAAGGGTTCCTTTTAATAAAAGATGTACATTATATTTTATGTTTTTTTTATTCAAAACACCTTAACCTAGTTACATTACTAATTTTAATTTATTTTAACTTTTTTTTAAATTATTTTAACTTTTTTTAACATTGTTTTAACTTTTTTAACATATTTTAACTTTTTTTAAAACTTATTTTAACTTTTTTTAACTTATTTTAACTTTTTTTAACATTATTTTAACATTATTTTAACATTATTTTAACTTATTTTAACTTTAGTTTAACTATTTTTAACTTTTTAAAATCTTTTTTAACTTTCTTTAACGTTACTTTAACTTATTTTAACTTTAGATTAACTTGAAATTACATGTCAGATTTTTTTATCCAAGTATTGTGAGAGTTATCGAATCCAAGCCATTTCACATAGACTTTATTACCACGAGTCTTGAGAACTTTTTCTACAAGGTAAACATCTGAATATTTGACTTTTAAAAGTTCTTCCTCATAGAAACCACCTTCGATAGATTGATTTTGGTAATCCGTAAGTTTGTATGTAACTGGTTTTGTACGTTTAACTTGATTCACAGTGAATATTTCCGTTGACCAGTTCGGAGTATATCCTTTTTCAAAAATACTTTTATTTTTGCTGACTCGAACTCTATCTCCAACTTTGAATTTTGGTCTTCGTAAAGGAATTCTTCTCAGTTTACGGATTCGTCTAATGAGCTCTCTTGTATCTTCTACGGTGACATCTTTAGGTTTCATACCAATAGTACGATGTTTTTTATTATTGTACTGTGATATAAGAGTTGGTAAAAGATTTATCCATTTATAATTACCTTGCAAATTGAATTGAGGCCACATATTATTCTTAAGATTGCGGTTAAATCTTTCAACAATAGATGCTTTCAAATTACTATAAGTTGAATAGAGATTAATATTGAATTCTTGCATTAAACTCTGAAATTCAGAGTTGTAAAATTCTTTACCTCTATCAGTATGCAAATTTTTTGGAATACGTCCTCCTTTTAAAATTAATTTCATGGCTAAAGAAATATCTTTTCCACTTTTACTTTTAACAGGCATAGCCCAGGCATATTTTGAAAATATGTCTATAATTGTTAGCATGTACTTGAATCCTTTATTGGAATAGGAGTAAGGAATCATTTCTATTAAATCTGCTTACCAGGTTTCATCTATACCACGCATTAGAACTTTACGACGAGGATAATTCCTTCTCGCTTGTTTATGCAGTTCAGTTACAACTGTTAACTTTTTATCATTCATCATCATTTTGAGTAAATGTAGTTTCCTTAATTATAATATTCTGTTTGGATTCAAATCGTTTTAGTTTTTCGTTAACTCTATCTTCAACAACTTGTATTAAAATATTCAAATCATCTCGTTTTATCTCGTTTTTAACAATTTGTTGTACAAGTCGCAAATTTACTGCATCATGCAAATCTTCAGCGTCTTGAACGTTACAAAGTCTTTTATTAACAATATCGTAGTCTCCACTTGCAGTAACCTTAAATCCAACTCCAGAAGGCCCAGGACGTCCACGACTTGTAGAGGTAACAAGTCGTGTTAACGAATGTCCAAACACGTCAACACTCATTGTAATACTAAGCACTTCTTCTTTCTGCTCTCTCTTAATATATTATTCTCGGTTCACGAAGTTCTTCTATGATTGACATAATCTCATTCTTATGACTTGGATTACCAGCTTGCTGTGATGCTATGAGTAGTCGTAAACGGTCGACAAGTTCGTTTGGATCATCCCAATAGATGTAATCTGGATTAAATTGTTTGTTTGCAAACATAAATTGAGGTAATATATTTTTATGCTTTTTTTTTCTTCTTCTTTAAAACACCACCACCTCTTTTTGGTGTACTTTTGATAAGCTTTGAAATAATATTAGTGTATTTAGAATTTCTAGTTATGTTTACAGGTGCAGTTGGCATGTAATTTTTTCGATATGCATTTGTAGCATTGAGAATTTCTTTATAATTTTCCAAATCACCTGAACTTATTGTAGCTGTCGACGTTTACATGCCTACCCATGCAAAAGAAAGCTCTAACATTGTCTTGCTTTTCATAAGCAATATCATCAAAAATAAAAATTGAATTTGGTTTAGCATCTTTTGGTGATACTACTTCTTCATGTTCACTAAATGGAAAGTATTCAATTCCATTCACGTTATTGATTACATTTTCTAAAAATTTATACTTTGGTTGTTGAAGAGATTTAGAGTATAGGTAAATATTTTCAAAACTTAAACCATTCGGATGTATGATTAAAGAGAGAAGTGCGTTTGTTTTGCCACAATTCGAGGGACCACAAAGTACAGCTCGAATACTGTCTGAAAATAAAGTGCCATGACGTTTATTCTTTTTTTCATTAGTTTCAACGTCAATACTTGTGACTGGGAGTGTCACAGGTTGTTTAGTAAACTGCATCTTGATAGTAACTGCCCTAAAAACTATAAATACCAGACATTTACAGTCTGTTAGTCAGTCCCACATGTACCATCGTGATATGATTTTGCATCAGAACGTAGAAAAAAAGGTCACCGTCGAGGTAAGGGCTTATTCAACCGTATTATCACTAATTTACCATTTGAGTTACATTTACCTGGTTACCAATTTTGTGGACCTGGTACAAAGTTGGCAAAGCGATTATCTCGAGGTGATCAAGGAATTAATCCATTAGACGCTGCATGCAAATCACATGACATTGCTTATTCACAAAATCGAGAAAATATTAAAGAAAGGAACAAAGCAGATAAAGTATTAGCTGAAAAGGCGTGGGAACGTGTTACGGCTAGAGATTCTACTATAAGTGAAAAGGCATCAGCTTTAGCAATATCTGGAACAATGAAAGCTAAATCAAAATTAGGTATGGGAATGAAGAGGAAGAAGAAGACTTCAATTAAGAAGAAAAGAAAAACCATGTGTAAGAAAAAGAAAGTTGCACTAAGAAGAGTTGTTAATGCTGCCAGAAAAAATATGATGCCTAGTCATACTGCTGGAGAATCCATTAGAGCTGCTTTGATAGGTGCAAGAAAAGCAATAAAGAATGCTGGAGGAAGATCAAAAATCTTATCACCACGCATTCTTCCCGTACCTACTAAAGTTGGTGGTATTTCACCACTAGTTCCAATTTTTGCTGGACTAAGTGCATTGGGAGCTCTTGCTGGTGGAGCTTCGGGAATAATAAAAGCTGTAAATAAATCTAAAACAGCTAAGGAACAATTGGCTGAAGGTCACCGTCACAATAAAGCAATGGAGGAAATATCACTTGGAAAAGGATTACATTTGAAACCATACCGACAAGGACTTGGTCTGCATATTACACCCTTTATTCAAGGGAAAGGAGTGGCGAAGAAAAAGAAACGAACATCAAAGAAGAAAAAAAACTTGCATTGAAGCTACCTCGCCGTCCACTAACTGATTTTGATCTGATGAAGTATGCCAAAACTGTAAAAATACCACATTTTCGTGGAGTTTTTATGCGAAATGAACTACGATTTAAAGGACCTTATCGACATGAGTCAGGAATAATTAATTTAGATAATAAAGAAGGCCTTGGGACTCACTGGGTAGCATATAAAAAATGTAATAATAAAACAATGTATTTTGATAGTTTTGGGAACCTTCCTCCACCAACAGATCTAATAACAATACATTACGCAGTTTAGTTGAATCAAATTTACCCATTGATTTTAAACATGAAGATTCAATTGGTGAATTATTGGGATTTACACCCCGAAAATTATCACCTAATGAAACACATACATCTGATTTACCTGTAGCTATTCTCAAGGTAAATTCAAGTAGAATTGAGTGTAACATTACATCTGGAGCGTATATAAATAATCAAAAAGTTCACACCATCCATGAATTCTTTCCAAGCGTTCCACCAGGATATAAGATTGTGGAAGTGCCGGCACACGTCATTTACCTTCCGATTGTGGTCAAAACAATACATAATATTCAACTCCGCATTGTTGATCAGGATGGTGATTTGATTAATTTTCGAGGAGAAACTATAACAATTCGATTGCATATAAAATCAATATAATGGGAATCGTTTATAATCAAAAAGTTGGTGGTGGAAGCTATAAAAGTCAGCCAACATGCCAAAGAAAAATCAGTCTAAACTTGTCTCACAAGGCATTAACACCTCAGAATCACCTATTCTTGAAAAACCTAGGCCTAAAAGTCATACCACAAGGAAAACGCCAAGACAAATAATCTATATATTTTTTGGGTGTTGTTGCAATAAAAATGGACGAAATTCTCAACATTCCAGCAGCAGTGAATTTTGATGAGTCCATAGCTCATTATGAAATTCATGCTCATCAACCATATGCTTCATCATCTTTTAACAATAGTGATGAAATTCGGATTCCAGTTCAACATCAAGATTTATGTATTTTACGGAGTAAAAATTCATTGCACATATTTGGAAAATTGACTAAAAATGATGGCATTGCTGTTACGGAAAACGTACACTTGACTAGCAATGCAATATGTTTTTTATTTGATGAAGTTCGGTATGAATTAAATGGTATCGAGATTGATCGATGCAAATACGTTGGACATACAACTATTATGAAAAGTTTAGTATCTCTAACTCCACCGCAGCTGAATCTTATAGAAAATGCAGGGTTTTCAAAAATTGAAGCTGATGCAAGAATAACTTTAGAAAATGGATATTTTGATGTTACAATTCCACTGAGCATGATTTTTGGCTTTGCCGAGGATTATAAGAAAATTCTTATGAACGCCAAACATGAACTTGTTTTTACAAGAGCGCGTAATGACACTAATGCTATAATTCAAACAGGACAAGGAGCTGATGAAGAATTTAAAATTTTCATCAATAAACTAGAATGGATGATTCCATATGTTTTACCTGCTGATAATAATAAAATAAAATTATTGAAATTCATCGAAAAAGACCCCTTAATTTCAATAAGTTTTCGATCATGGGAAATGTATGAATATCCTTTAGTTCCTAGAAGTTCAAAAGTCCTATGGCAAATCAAAACTTCCACCCAATTGGAAAAACCACGATATGTAATTGTTGGATTTCAAACAGCGAGAAAAGATAAACGAAAAAAATATGCTTGTCATTTTGATCATTGTAATATTACAAACGTAAAACTCTTTTTAAACTCTCAGTATTATCCTTATGGTAATTTGAATCTAAACTTTGATCAAAATCAGTATGCTTTACTTTATGAAATGTATGCTAATTTTCAAACTTCTTACTATGGAAAAGATTCAAAACCTATATTAACAAAGAATATTTTTAAACAATTATTTCCTTTAATTGTTATGGATTGTTCAAAACAAAATGAGTTTTTGAAACAGGCATCAGTAGTTGTACGATTAGAATTTGAATCAGGATATAACATGCCGGCTGAGACTACTGCATATTGCCTAATCATCCATGATCGCGTTGTACAATATAAACCAATCAGCGGCGTCGTTAAAAAGTTGCTATAGAGGAGAGGGGGTAATCTAAAAAGTGTTGGTGGGGGTATAATTGGGCTATAAATGCAGTACTTTCGGCGAGAAATTCATTTTCTGTTTCAGGATGGAGTTCATCGTAGACGTTCAAGGTTTTAAAAGACCCTACAATGACTTTGTCTTTAAAGAATTGGCAATACTTCCACTTCAGGCTGATGCTCAACCAATCGTCTACCTATTTGAACCTCCGTGTAATTGGAATTCATTGCCAGGACGCTATAAAAGTGAAAATCTTTGGCTTACACATAATTACCATGGAATTCATTGGTCAGCTGGAGACGTTTTATACGATGAACTTTGTCCAATTCTACAAATAATAATTTTAAAACCAATTTATAGATAAATATATTTTTTTTTATTGATGTGAAAATTCATATTTTATAAACATCAATAATTAAAAAATTCACTATCATTTATTTAAATTTGAATTCCATGGCGTTGTATGGTCCTCCCAAGTACTTCATGTATAACTTGTTTAAACTTGCAGCTTCTTGCATCATCTCCAAGGTATTCGACTCATCCTCGAAGAGTTTCACAAATCTGGCTGGTAGAAAAGTGATAAATTCATTATCTATTTCTGTCATAATCCTTCCTCCGAATCTTGTTTGTACTTTGGTTAATTTATTAACCATGTAGCGACCCTTGGGAACCAATTCGGAAAGTGGCTTTGTTGGTAAGGTAGCTTCCATGCGTCCAACAGCATTTACTTTTTCTAAATCCATTCTTTTATAGTTGTCGAAAACAAACCTTGAACAGAAAGATAAAAAACAAAATATATAATATTTAAAAAAAAATAAACGTCGGATACTTTAAATGCTCTTAAAATAGAAAAGAGGTATATCTGAAAATAAATGCTGAAAGAAATACTGAAATAAAAATTGAAAAAAAAATTGTTGAAAATAAAATGCTCAAAATTACTGAAAAAATAAAAAGAATTCTGAAAGAAAAGAATGTTGAAAATAAAAAGGTATTTGAAGAAAAAAGGAATGCTGAAAACAAAAAGAACGCTGAAGAATAATTTTAAAAAATCCTAAAAAATTATAAGTAATTCTGAAAAAAGAACGCTGTAAAATAAAAGGAATTGTAAAAATAAAAAAACGGAATACTGAAAAAAAGGAATTCTGAAAACAATGAACGCTGTAAAATAAAAAACGGTATCCTGAAAAAAAGGAACGCTGAAAAATAAAAATAAGGAACGCTGCAGAAAAAAGAAAAAAAATCCTGAATAAATAAAAGAAATTCAGAAAGGAGAACGCTGTAAAATAAAAGAAATTCTGAAAAGAGAGCGCTGTAAAATAAAAAATTGTGAAAATAAAAAAAAACGGAATGCTGAAAAAAGAATTCTAAAATAAAAAAAATGGAATCCTGAAAATTAAAGAAATGCTGAAAATAAAAGAAATTCTGAAATAAAAGAGACGCTGAAAAATAAAAGGAATTCTGAAATAAAAGAGACGCTGAAAAATAAAAGGAACTCTAAAAAAATAAAAAAGAATGCTTACTTCTATTTGATGCTTAAGGTTTGATTCTGAAACAGAAGTAATATTTTTGAATGTGAACTACCTTATATAGCCATTTCCCCCACTCGGAAGCAACTTACAACTTGCGCACGCAACCTCACCCCTATTGGTTCCAATCCAGAAATAATCTGCGTGCGCATCTCACATTTACTTATGTATGCATCCATTTCTCTGATGATGAAATCTAACCCTGTAAAGCAGTATAAATGTAAAGGTATAAAAAGATTTAAAAAGAGTTTTATTAAATTAATTATTATTATTATTATTATTAATGATTTTTTTTTCTTTTTCAATTTTTCTCCTTTTTTCATCATTTTCATTTCTTCTCCTTAGATTGTGGGAAATGTCAGGGAAAAAATCGGCATCCGAGTCAAACGATGATTGTGGCGATGAATCAGTGTAAGTTGGAGGAGGAGTGCTGGATTCTGATAATTCATCATCATCATCATCACCATTATCCACATCAGAAATCATCACCATTAATTCTGAAACCTAAATATAAATTAATGACATTTTAATTTACATTACTATTTTAATTATATTACTATTTAATTATAAAAGAATAAAAATTACCTCCTCATCACTGATGTTAATAATTAATATGTCCTCATCACTATTATCCTCATCATCACTACTGATAATGACAGTGGACGCTTCACTGTCATAGGCTTCACTGTCATAAATTGTAATATTTAATATGACCTGCTCGTCGGTGTTGCCATTTTGGAGATCGTCCATTTTTTCTTATTCTAAAAAATTAAATTTTTTTTTTAAATCTTAAATAAATGAAATTAATTATTAATTTATATAATACAAAAATCTACTAAGAAGGAAGAAAAAAATGAAAAGAGAGATGGAAGAAAGATACAAAAAATAACCTAAAAGTAAAGAACAGTAGAAAGAATGAAAGAGAAAAATAACCTCCAAAGAAAGAATAAATGAAAATAACCTGAAATTGTAGATTGCATAAAAAAATTAAAATAAACCTGAAAGTAAATTTTAAAAAAATTAAAAAAATAAAATACCTGAAAGTAAAGAGAAAAAGAAAATTTCTGAAAGTAAAGGAAAAAAAATGAAAAAGAAAATATCTGAAAGTAAAGAAAAAAAATAATAATAAAATACCTGAATGTAACGAAAAAAAAAATTAAAAATAAAATAACCTAAAAGTAAAGTAAAAAATGAAAAAGAAAATATCTAAAAGTAAAGAAAAAAATAATAATAAAATACCTGAAAGTATTGAAAAAAAAATAACCTAAAAGCAATGAAAAAATGAAATAACCTGGAACCAAAGAAAAAAATGGAAAATAAAACAACCTGGAAGTTAAGAAAAAAAAGCTGGAATTATGAAAGTAATGAATAAAGAAAAAAAAACGTAAGTAATGAAAAAAAAAGTTGGGAAGAAATAATAATAATAAAGATGGAAAAAATGTGAATAATATATAACATGAAAGTGAGGATTGGAAAATAATTTTCAAAACTAGAAAAAAAAATTCACATGTATTGTTCAAACCTGAAACGTTCTCATGTAATAACGTGAGAGAAATGATGACTCTCGTAAGTCAGCACAACGCTTTTAATGTGAGCTCTTCCCACCACTGTTGTTTATCCCTTTCTTTGCAGTCACCACCCAATAGGACACAACTCCAATCACGCTTATCTTTCATCTCTGTTTAAATATATCTTTTTTAAACGAACGAATAGGGTAACTGCACCAGTGGTGGATCAGTTAAGCCCCTTAACTTTCTTATTTTGACTTTGAAGTTCTGTATAGGTTGCTTTTAGACAAATTCGAGGTTATTCTTTATAGTATTATGGACTAGATAGTTCCAATAGACATTTCCTTCAAGGTTAGACTTGATTTTGACACCTGCGTTTACTTTAATGCTCCATCAAAGATAATTTGTCAATGATCCTATTCTGGATCACTGTTTGCACCAGTCATGGTTATAGATTGCTCCAGTGGTGGATCACTTAAAAAATCATACTAAATAACATTGCATTTCAAAATTACGAGACTGAGACGTTTTGCAACTTTTATAAGGCTTTACGGACAGATTTTCAAATTCACTTTCCTATCCATATCCCCTCCTCTTTCATTTCTATAGGTATAATGTGACTAAATGTTAATTAATCATCTTTTTATTAGAATTTTTGGTAATAAATAAATAGAAACTCTTAAAGCTTCAGTTTCAATGATAAATAACATTTATTAATTCTGGGTATTTTAATTCAACAAAAATTTAACAATTTGAAATCAGGTGTTAACAATTAATAAACATTTGAATTAGTGTTAACTAAAATTTAACTCATAAAATTTTCAATAAAACAATGCGTCAACAGGCTAAAAGTAGGACTGATCCACCACTAGATTTTGTTACCTTTTTGGTTCCAGTCGTGGATCACCCCAAAACAATGGACACGCGCTATTTGCAGACGTAAATATTGTTCTCAGGGCTCTATGGGGATGAAACGAAATGCCTCCTATCGAGAAAAGAATTAAAAATTGTCCTAAAATGGCTCCAAAGCTTTCTATTCCAAAATATACTCTTAACTTACATGCTAAGGAAAACTCTTGTTTTCTGTCACCACTTTAGTAATTGTTGTCCTGCTTTCTTCGCGATGAATTTAAAAATTTCTTTAAATTTTCATCATATGTTTTTGGTTCAGTAAATACAAACTCCGGTTCGTAGGGAATATCTAAATTGAAAATATCTGTATCATTTATATTTTTTTGACTGTCTTGTAAATTATGATGTGTGAAATATTCTGTTTGCATTTCCAGGCTTTCATCCAATATATTGTCAAGTATTTCCTCCTGAGTATTTTGTAGGCTGTTAAAAATTACTGGTTCATATTGAGTTTTCTGTTTGTTTAGATCTGCTTGTTTTTCTTCAATTTTAGATTCTTTCATCTGTGTTGCATCGCACATTGTATGAAAAAGCATTTTAGGTATTTGTGGTGTGTCACATCTTTTCAAATTAGTCAGTTTTGTTTGTGGTCCATTCCTTTTATTGTATGTGGTGTATCCCACCTTGTAGGACGTCGTCGTCAAGTTAATTTTACTGCTTCTGTTGTAATGTTATTTTTTTCCAATTGTTGCTGTTTCTCTTCTATATATATTTTTTGTTCCAGTTGTGATTGTTTTTCATCTATATTTTGTTCCTCTTGTACTTGTGGAACTTTATTTTGGTTAACATCTACTTCAGCTGTATTCTGAAAGAAAACATAAATATTTAAGATTTTTATAATATATCATTTAAATAATGTAACAAGCCAATAAAATTTTATGAAATATTAATTTAAGTATTTAAATTAAATCGATGTTTTTATTTTGTCAAATGTGAGGTTAGAATTGATGTCACAGTTTAGATATTTCTTATTTTTCTTACCTGTAGTGTCACCGGTGTTGGAAAACTTACATACTTTAATTCCATTGGAATTCTTTCCGCTTTTCTTACCCTCGGATCGTCAGCATAAATTAGTTGGCACCAATTGCACACAGAATATATTGAGTTGATTGGTGCAACCGGCTGATCGCATTTCACAAAATTTGGATTCTAAACAAAATTTGTTTACCTTATGCATATATATAAACACATCTATAATATAAAAACTATAAAAAATACTCACCATCTTTAATAAAATTCTTCCAGGTTTTATGTAAAACAAAATTATAGTTTCAAAAATGTCGTTAGATTATTTACACTTATTGGTAAAATGGCTTCCTCGATCGTGACTATTAAAGTCTACGCACAATACGTTCAGGAAAGTTAATACATTAAGGTTTGTTGACTTGTCATATCTGTATCGCGATTTCATTAAGGTCTATACACAATATGTTTATGAAAGTCGTTTCACTTCCAAAGTTATTACATTAAGGATCAACGCATAATGAATTTGTGAGTGTGGTTTATAAGAAATGAAAAAAGACAAATATATTTATATCTGTCCTTTTCTAACGCTTGCATCTCATTGGCGAACAGACTTTCGCGAAGTTATTGTGCGTTGACCCATAGATTTGTCTAATTGTGATTGATTCTAATTAAAGAATCGCGATTTCATTAAGGTCTATACACAATATGTTTAAGAAAGTCGTTTCACTGTTTAAGTAAGTATATTATATTTCTGTTCTCAGTATTTCAATTCAAGAATCTACCATAAAATATTAATTCAAGATCTATACACAACAGAATTGAAAACTTTCACATAAGATAGAAAAAGATGGAAGAAATATCTGTTCTTTTGTATCTTATATAAGAGTTTACCATTTATGTTGTGTATTGGCTCTTGCTCAACTTGCAAACGACTTTTAATCGGTTGACAAATTAAGTAGCTCCATCTAGTGCTGTCAGCTAGAACTAAATGCTCAGGAAATTCGGTGGGAAATTTGAATTTAAAAAATTAAATAGCGCCATCTATTGGTGGCAGCCAGTACTAAAATGCTAGGAGAATTGAGTGGGAAACTCAAAAATTAAGTGGCGCCATCTATTAATGTCTGCCAGTACTAGAGTGCTCAGCGAATTCGGTGGGAAATTTAAAATTTAAGTGGCGCCATCTAGTGGTGGCAGCCCAAACTAACATGCTCACGGAATTCGGAGGAAAATTTAAAAATTAAGTGGCGCCATCTATTGGTGGCAGCTGAAACTAACTCGGTCGATAAAATAGATTTTTAAATTTCCAAGCGACTTTAACTGTACCGACAAAATAAAGTGGCGCCATCTAGCGGCGACCTCTGGAACTAACTAGTGGCGCCATCTAGCGGTGGCGCTCCGAACTACCTCCGTCGGTAAAGTAGAGTTCTACATTACCCTGCTCGGTCGGTAACTGGGGTCGTAGCCCCCTTACTATACTACTTATATCCTTAAATGATATTAATTATTAAAAGTAGGAGGTTCACGACGTAATCTCCTGACCTTAAAATTTGAAATTTTTTAAAAGCGTTATTATTCGAAAACTATTAAACATTAGATATAATATTATTTACCAGAAATATAAATAAGTTTATTCTTCATAAGAAAATAATGTATTTTTCACAAAATATTATTATTTTTAGATAATAATTGATTTTATATAATTTTTTCATGAAAAACTTCCCACATAGCACGACTTCTTGCTATAAGGCTACTGTGAGGACATCTGAAGGGTTTGTAAGGTTACCATGTAAGCCTATAGTAAACATAAGGTGATATTAAAAGTTCCGCCTCACAGTAAGCTTACACTGTAAAGCCAAGGTGAGCTTACACTGTAAGGTCATGGTAAGCTTACACGGTAAGGGCGTAGTAAGCTTACATGGTAAAGTCACTGTATGCTTACGTGGTAAAGTCTCTGTAAGCTTACACGGTAATGTCATGGTAAGCTTACACGGTATGTTCGCAGTAAGCTTACACGGTAATGTTGTGGTAAGCTTGTGGTGATTCAAGCGAAATTGAATTAAAATATTAATTCAAATACATTTTAATAATAACATAAATGGTGAAAAATTGAAAAAGGGAAATAGCTTTATCTGTTTCTTTATTTAAAAATGATATTAAACAGTAACCCATTTTGTTAGCACATCAAATACAGCGTATATTACAAAAATTGTCGTGATTAAAACAATATTATATATGAAAATAAGTAAAAATAAGAACAGAAGAAAAAGTTAAACCACCAAGTCTGTAGTTCGGAAAGACCTGTAACAAAGTATAATAAATTAATTAAACTAAGAGTAATTGATGAATGAAAAGTATTTGAAAAATAAATTCACTTAAAGAAAAAGAATGTGTTTCACAAAAATTTCTCTTTTTTAAAATTTTAATTATAACAGTCAAAAGATGGTATAATTTGTGCCGTATAATGGCTCTTTTTTAATTGAAAAATCAATATTACATATTTCTAATAAAATTTAAATAAAATCATTCTACAAATGACAAAAATAATTTTGAATAAATTCAAAATTAGTTAAAAATTGGATTTTCATTAGATATGTAAGTTAAAAATTAATATTTTCTTTGTCAAACTATAATGATTTTTAGAATTTCGATTGGTTTTTAAGGTGGTTTGACCCCAGAAATGCAGAACTCCGGAAAAAAATAATTCATGAAGGTTTAATTAATTGAAATAATATTATTAATTGTATTTTCTGAAAGAAGAAATATCAATTTCCACGAGAAAAATTTAAAACCTAGAAAATTTATTTGTTTATACAATTTGCATATGATTAAATATTTCTATCATATAGCTAATAGGGAATTTTTTAAAAATGATTTAATTTTAATGTAAAACAGCTTTTTTTCAGAAAATGATTCTCTACAACTTCACCGAGGTCATTTTTAAAAAAAGCAACCTATTTGGAAAATTTGCCTGTTTATTAAAAAAAAATTTTTGGATTTTTGTAAACAAATAGCAAAATTTTCCAAACAAGTCACTTTTTTTAAAAATCGCCACGGTGAAGTTGTATAGAATTATTTTCTGAACAAAATAAGCCGTATTACATTAAAATTAAATCATTTTTAAAAAATTCCCTATTAGCGAAATGATAGAAATTTTTAATCATATGCAAATTATATAAACAAATAAATTTTTTAGGTTTTTAAATTTTTTCTTGAAATTTAATATTTCTTCTTTCAGAAAATACAATTAATAATACCCTGGCGGATTCGATTTGCGTAATGTCTACTTAACTAAGCGGACTTTAGGTAGACATTAGGTAGACATGTAAAAAAACGTATAAAAAAGCTATTAATCGACTTATTATGATAAAAAAAGTTGATAAAAGGGTAAATGAATGTTTATAGAGTAAATTCGTACAAAATTTGTAATTAATAAAGCAATAAATAATTAATAATGAATGGAAATGTGCGCGAGGTACCTGATCAGTTCAGCTGTACAATTATTTTCGTGCTATTTTCATGAAAAGAATATAAATTAACGGCAAAAACAATTGATATTTATAAAAAAGTGTAAAATTGATTTAATTTGAGTGTTTGCAATACGAATTATTAAATAATAATTAAGTTTTTATCAAATGTGAATAGTGTTGTGAACACCTGTGAAAACTAATGAGTTACTACATTACCGATCGCATATGATAATAAAAAGTTCTCGATGAGTGTAACAAAAAAGCTGCAATCATGTCCGTAATTTTGGACGAGAAACAATTATGAAATCAATAATTATTTGTATAACTTTATTCTGCATTTTAAAATTCACTTTTTATTTTCTTTCAAAGCAAAAGCTTGGAAGAAAACAAGCTCGCACTGTATTGTAAAAACTGGTGGCGCCATCTCTCATATGCGATCGGTAATGTAGTAACTCATTAGTTTTCACAGGTTTTCACAACACTATTCACATTTGATAAAAACTTAATTATTATTTAATAATTCGTATTGCAAACAATAAAATTAAATCAATTTTACACTTTTTTATAAATATCAATTGTTTTTGCCGTTAATTTATATTCTTTTCATGAAAATAGCACGAAAATAATTGTACAGCTGAACTGATCAGGTACCTCGCGCACATTTCCATTCATTATTAATTATTTATTGCTTTATTAATTACAAATTTTGTACGAATTTACTCTATAAACATTCATTTACCCTTTTATCAACTTTTTTTTTATCATAATAAGTCGATTAATAGCTTTTTTATACGTTTTTTTACATGTCTACCTAAAGTCCGCTTAGTTAAGTAGACATTACGCAAATCGAATCCGCCAGGGTATTATTTGAATTATTTAAATCTTCATTAATTTTTTTTTTCTGGAGGTCTGCATTTCTGGGGCCAAACCACCTTAAGAAATGTAGGGTCAACCGGGGTAAATCCGAACGCTTTTAGTAAGTTTCAACAATAACATAAGTTTTTTCTTTAAAAAAAAAATACTTCCGGTATTCTGGTGCATGAAGTTGTTACTTTACTTCCATAGAACAATTTTATGGGGTAGAAAAAATTTTTGATAAATTACAATCGCAGGAAACTTAGCGTTCGTATTTACCTCGATACTTTGCAACTTTCCTAAAATATGGGGGTAAATACGAACGCCACTGTATTTCAGAAAAATCTTAGGGAAAATAAATTTAAAGTATTGCAATTGTTAAACTTATATAAAAACTCAACAAAAATACGATAATAAACCTATTATGTAATAATGCATCATATATAAATACAAAAATCAAACAGGTTAAAAATTAAAATGCATTACACAATTAGAACCTTCAATAACTTTATCAAATCATAACGGATTTTTGCAAAACTTGGTACAGAAAGTATTTTGGAGTGATTGAATGTAAATACAAAAATAAAAGTCAAATTTTTTAAATTCAAAATGGCGTACTTTCCTAAAACTTATTTTTAAAAATGATCAAATTTGCTAACCCTGAAACCCCCCGAGTAACAATTTTCGAGCGAATCCAATGAATTTTTTAATTCTCGTCCGCCATTTTGAATTTTGAAAAACTGACTTCAAATTGGTAATTAGCGACCCCAAAAACCGTAGAATACCAAATTTTATTAAGATCCTGAAAAACTTTTTTCAACAAACCATTTGGCAAAAAAATTGAAACACTCCTTCGAGAGAACAGAGATTAAGTTTCTGCTTATTAATTACTAACGAGGATACGTATAGAAAGAAAAACTTTTTTCTATGTACTTTTATAATATTAAAAGGATAAACTTCCGAAAACCCCCCTCTTCCGATTTTAATGAAACTTAGTATACTTACGTAATTTCATGCGCTGATCACGAAAATGATAGTGAAAATTACCGCAAATTTCATTTTTATGGTGAAAACCATAAAAAACACCATAAAATTATGGTTTTTTGCGTTTAACTCGTAAAAAACGCAAAATTAAAAAAATCGTTCTTACAAAAGTTGTAGAGCTTCTAAAAATGAACATTTTATGTCTTATACATTTTTTACCAAAAGTCATTAGTTTTCGAGAAAAATGCAAAATATTTAAAAACGGTGAAAATCACCAACTTCTAGCTATTATCCACAAGAGGCAGATGTCTTATGTGACGGACAATATCTTTTAATAAAAAACCTTCTACTCTTTGCTGTGCAGGGCTACTTCCAGGGGGAGAGGGGGGGAAGACATCTTGGAGGAGGGGGGTCGGGGTGGGTTCCGTACCTTCCAGTACCATTAAGAATGTGAATTTGACTGTCTGTTTTGAAAGAGAGCAACGATACTAGGGATGGCGCGCTTCGCCCGCCTCTGCATTCTTTGCTGTGCAGAGCTACTTCCAGGGGGGGAGGGGGGGAAGACATCTTATATATTATATATACATAATATATGTATAATATAATATAATATCATAATAATATAATATTCAAACGAATCAAATTTAATGTGCGATCTCTCAAAACTATCTTTATAGGAATTCCAGTTTCGTGGTATTAGTAATTTTTGTAGTGTGCTTTTCATGTTTCTGCATTTTTCTCGAAAACTAATGACTTTTGGTAAAAAATGTATAGGACATAAAATGTTCATTTTTAGAAGCTCTACAACTTTTGTAAGAACGATTTTTTTTAATTTTGCGTTTTTTACGAGTTAAACGCAAAAAACCATAATTTTATGGTGTTTTTTATGGTTTTCACCATAAAAATGAAATTTGCGGTAATTTTCACTATCATTTTCGTGATCAGCGCATGAAATTACGTAAGTATACCAAGTTTCATTAAAATCGGAAGGGGGGGGTTTTCGGAAGTGCACCCTATTAAAATAATAGTGTAATCAAATAAAAACAATTTTGTGTGGCTTTGATGTAAAAAAAAATTATTAAAAATACCGTTCGGATTTACCCCAGTTTTCCAATTTTCTTGGGTAAATACGAACGGTCTGATATTATTAATAAAATTTTACAGAAGGCAAAAATCAAATATAGTTTCTGTTCTAGTATTCATAACAAACAATTAACTATAATAATCTTTGAATTCATTCCTTCATTCTGTCCATTCCTTCATTCCGTCCATTCATTCATTCCGTCCGGACCCCTGCTGGGTTTTCGGTGACAGAGAAAAAGAACAAGTTATGGAGAGAGAAAGATATATCTTTATTTTGCAAATGAGGGTTCACTTGACCTGCAATCTTTTAAAGAGGATTAATTAATAACTCTGAGGACCCAGGTAATAATTTCTTTCTGTCTTTATCACGTGAAAAAAAAAACTATAAAGAAAGTCTAAAACTAAATAGGTAACGCATACCTTTCTTTCTTACACCAAGGAACATAACATAAGTACTTCTTCGTTTAACATTGCGTTTCTCTATCTAGACAATTCAAAATGGCATAAGAATATCTTCGTCTAAAATCTTAATCTTCTTCCTTTTTGTTTTGAAAATAAAAATAAATATATATATATATATATATATGTGTGCATACCTGTATTAGAGTCCCTGAAAATTTTAATAAAAAAATTTAAAAATTATTACCTAAGTTCTCAGAGTTAATCCTTATCAACAAAGGTTCTATTGTTTAAGGGTATTTTTCCATGTAATAAATGGGAGAAAAGAAATTATTACCTGGGTCCTCAGAGTTAATTCTCATTGATTATTTAACAAAGGTTCTATTGTCCAAGGGTTGGTTTTTTGTGGTAATTAATCCGGGGTTTTAATACAAGTGTATATATATGTATATATGGTATCTGTAATGAACTACTGATTAATCATATAAGAGTGTCCTTTTGCACTTATTGGCTGATCAGTAGTTACTCATTCATAGTTCTCTCATTCTATTGGATATTGGTAGTTGTATTGGATAAAAGGCAAAATTTGTTATATTGCATTAAAGGCAAAATTGGTTATATTTAATAAATGGCAAAATTTGTTATATTGGAGAGAGTGAGCGAGAGGATTAAAGATATTTAGATTTTCATGAATCAAAAATAAAATTAAACGAAGTATACTATGGCCAACATAAAAGAGTATGTTATTTTGAGTGATGAAGATTTAAAAATTGTTAAAAATAGAAATAAATTGTTAAATGACATGCATATGTACAAATTTGAAGATTTATTAAAAAAAGATTCCAATTATTTTTTCAATATGCAAAGTACTTATACTTTTATAGCCTTAATGAGGGGTGTTTAAATGTGCATGAAATGAAATATTTAATTAGATTGTTCCCTTTTAAACCAACTGTAGTTTTTGTAGTTGTTGATCAACAACCTTTTGGTAGTGTTGAGTGTGGAGTATATGCAATAGCATTTGCAACATCTATATTTTTTAACGTAATGTCAAACAGCGTAAATTATGAAACTGATAATAACAGAATGAGAAACCATTTAAAGTAAATGTTTGAAAATAATCGCTTAAATCATTTTCCGTCAATAAGAACGTCTCACAATAGGAATTCGATAATAGAGAATGATTGGAACCGTCTTTTCATAAATCGAGCTCAGGAACTTAAAAATAATATTTTGAACCCTTGTTCTGTTTTAATACTTTTCCCAGAAATAATATTAACAGAGTTCTATTAACACAATATTTAGAAATTAAACATTCTCTAAATGACACTAGTGAAGAGAAAATAATTCGTACAACTAATAATAATATGAACAAAATTTCACCACTTGAATATTCAGAAATGAAGTATTTTCTGAGTGAAGAAATTGATAAAAAGCTAATTCTAGGAATTAAAGAAAAGGGAAGGCAACGCGCGAAGTTACATATGAACAGAAAATAATTAGACAAGAGAATGGTAGATTGAGAAAACGTAATCGTAATGAAACAGAAACAGAAATACAAAAGAAAGAGCGCAAAAAAAATTTGACTTGCAAAAAAAGAAATTATCTATAGAAACTAAAGATGAAAAGAAAATACACAAGGATAAAAATTTGGCATGTAGGGAAAGAAAAATATCAATGGAAACTCAAGATGAAAAGAAAGTGCGTCAAGAAAATAATTTGTCATGTAAGAAGAACAAATTTTCTACGGAAACGGAAGATGAAAAGAAAGTGCGTCAAGAAAAGAATTTGGCATGTGAAAACGATAACCGAAATAAAAAAGTGTAAGAGATGCAATAATGTCTTAAACTTTTCAATAAAAGTAAGGTTCCACAGAATTATTTAGGTTTGATGAATGTAGAATGTAAGTTTTGTTATGTGTTACATTTTCTGTGTGAGAGACCGTCACATAGATTATTTAGTAGTTGCTGTCATAAGGGAAAAGTAAAGTTAAGCGCCCAAGTAGCACGGAATATTGGTTGATTGTAACATTGATATCAAGTGGGAATATTCCCGTGACATTCAGGCGATATCATAATGTCTTTACGGGGACATTCCTCGGTGATATTCACGTGTGATTCGTATGATATTGAGGGAATATTCCCGTGAAATTTGTGTGATATTGAGTGAATTATTCCTCTGATATTGAGGGAATATTCCAGTGATATTAATAAGATAATTTATAAAATTCTAGCAAAATTTCAATTTTTTTTTATTGATTTATTTGTTTAATTAAATATTCAAAATAAACAACATTTTAGAATTTTCTAAATTACAGGAATATTGTCTCAATATCACAGGGATATTCCCTTAATATCCCAGGAATATTTTCTTAATATTGCGTGAATTTAACGGGAATATTCCCTCAGTACCATACAAATATCACGCGAATTTCACAAGAATATGACCGTAGAATGTCCCCATGAAGCGGACATTATGATATCGCCTGAATGTCACAACAATATTCCCGCTTGATTTCACCTTGACATTCAAGCAATATTCCGTGCTCCTTGGGTGGTAGATTTAATATGAAGATATTTTTTGTAAATTTCTAATATTAAATTTTTTGAAAAAAAAGAAGTGAATAAAGATATGGTTAATGCACACGAGCAACGTAGTCGGCCGCTTGCGGACGACAAAGTTGCTAGTTATAAATAATAAAATGAATTTTTAGCTTCTTTTTCTTGAAATACGAGACAAAATACTGAAAGAGTGTCATCTTTGATTTTCAATCTTTTTTGCAATACTTGTTATCTTTGTTTATGCTGTTGCTAATTAACAAACGAAAAATGGGATAATACTTAGAATCTCTTGAAGAGGATCTGAGGTAAAAATTCTCATATCGAACTTATTTTTAAAAATTTTAATTAAGCTGAAATAATTAGCGTTCGGATTTACCCCCCGTTCGGATTTACCCCGACTGACCCTATAGATAAATTTTTAATTCTTATTATTTCCCTTACGTTTAATGTAAATAAACCTTAGTCCCCTTTTTCTGGAAACTCGATGCCGTTTCTTGCATTTTTCACCAACTTTTTCATCAAAATATGACAATCATTCCGTTCTCCCGCAACTCTTCGCTTTAGTTCATAGTTGAATACTTTGCACTGGTGAAATCCTAAAAAACAGTGAAATTAAAATTTATAAAAAGCATAGACACAGAAAAGTTTATTTATTAACATAGTCTTAGTAAAATTATTGACTTTCTCTTTCCTCTTACTTCTGAGAAGACAATTCGACAGCCAACTGCCGATAATTATATCAATACTTTTTGACGTCTCACTCCTCGACTTCAGTATTGACAGAGCAGCTTCTGTGTACGTGCAAAAAAAAATTAAGAATATTCCAGATAACCTTAGAGTGAAGAGAAATGAAAAAAAGAGGACATGGTATTTTCGCTGATAGTATTTTCATTCGTATGCCTAATTCTATTAATGACAAAATGGCTTACGAATAAAGTTCGCCAGATTTTCTGAATATTTATTTAACTGTCCCGTTTAAAAAAACGAATTAAATGAAGATCAGGAAATAAATAACCGAAATCTATTTTTAGAGTCTTTAGCGCTGTGTTTTTTTTACTAATGAAAATTAACTGAAATTATACATTTTTTAAATTAAATACTTCTTTATGTTTTTTGTTCAAACGTTAGAAAAAATGAACAAACTTTTTAAAAATACAGAGCAATCATTGATTGTGTCAATTTCAGATAATATAGAGAATTTGTGATATACTCACTGGAAACTACTTTGTACACATTTGTTGTGTTAAATTTCTCCTTTCCTTTGTTTTTCCCTTTCAAGCAATAAGACTTTCCCAAGTTAAAAGACATAAGTTGATCCATCATTGCTGACACAGTCAAACTGGAAGTGTTATATAATCCAATATTTTTCAGGGCAATGTACTGTGAAGAATATGCAAATTAAATACCTATACGTTAGGTAAATGTAATGACTTACTTTTGAGCTGACAAATCAAATAATCATAAACATAAAATTCTTTTACCACCCCAAACATCAACTTTAAAATTAAAATTTGTGATTAAGGTTCCAGATAAAATTATGAAAAATTGTTTAATTAAGAATTCAGTTTTATCACTGCCTTATGGTTGAGGGATAGTTGAAAACTGTTACTTATATAGTTCCTTATCTGAATTTAAAAAAAGAAATGAAAGAAAATGCCACTTATAAGAGGCAACAAGCATGTGTAAAAAAATTCAGTATATTTAACTTATTTTACGAAATAAAAGGCTTACTACTTTTGTAAACAATGGGCCATCTGGTGTAAGGGTAGCGTCAACGATTTCTAAATTTTCCTTGGTTTCTAAAGGAAACACTTTCAAATCTTCGTCTTTATGCAGAAATGAGTATGTATCAGATTGCATAGGATTTCTGCTACCTGTTTGAATTGATCGACCCAGTAATTCCACTCCCACTTCTATTTTGTTGGTTTTTTTATACATAATTTTCTGGTACGGGGTTACTGAAAGTAATTTAGTCGATTATATAGAATAATAATAATAATAATAAAATGATTTGAATATTCTCAAATGTCGTTTGATGTTATCAAGAATCAGAATTTTTATAGATATTTTTTCATGTAGATTATATTTCAGATATTTTTCAAGTACTTTTGGCAAAAACTTCTGATTTTTCTGACTTCCCTAAATAATTTTACTTACAATCATCATAATTAAAATTTGCATTTTCATGACCGCTTTCAGCTGACGGATTATCGCTGCTAGTTGATGGTCCAATTGACTGTAGATCGCCACCTTCATGAGTCATTTCATCAAAATGAGTTTTTTTTGGCTGATTATTCTCGCCATCTGCATCAGTCATTGCTTTTGGGTGACTTCTTTTCTTCTGAGAATCATTTGTATTTGTAATCGGTGCCTTATTCTCGTCATTGAAATTTGAGGCTATCACTGGGTAAAATTTATTCTGTCTCAAATAGTTTGCACTTGTTGAAAGCGCATTTCCTTCTTCTTCATCTATTGAAAAAGAAATACATTTTTCGTAGACCATTAAGGTAAAAGGCCCAATTATGAGACAGTGTCCCTATTTATCAGACACTGATATAAATTATATAATAAAAATGTTTATATATTACGATTAGTGAATTTTATTATTTACTTTAATTCTAATGCTTATTGTCATATTATGCAGCTATAAAAATTATTTTAATTAAAAATGTTTCAGCATTAAAAAACATTTATTTATACATAACCTATAAATAATGGCTCATAATTAAGAACATATCTAGATCTGAATGTTCTTATTTATGAGACAGCGCAATAACGCATTTTCATTATGTGACATCTGTAAATTATTATTTAAGTAGACAAAACATAATGTTACAATTTTTCTTTATATACAATTATTATCTTGATTTGCATATTTATTTTTAAGATTTTAATTATTATCAAAAGTCAATCGAATTTATAGTAATTATTAACCCTTTAACGGCGAGATGTGCTGTTTTTCAACATAAATTTCAAACGCCTACAATTTGTAGAAAGAAGCCATAAAATTTTTCAAAAGCCCTTATCTTACTATTTTTGGGGTCGCTCTTTCGAATGGCGTGGTCAAAATTTTCAAAAAATGATATATAACCCTTCTTTTTTTCAAAAATACTAAAAAAAGTCATGTTTTTTGAATGCAATTTTTTTTTAAATAATTTTTTTCTCTCCCATAACATTTTTTAAATAAAACAAAAAGTATCAGAAACGTGTTCCCAATAGTTGTACTTGGAAAATAGTCGTTTATAATTTTTATTTTTTTCGATTTTGGATTTAAAATGGCGCTTGAAGGACAAAAAAATTTCCTAATTTTACTTAAGATCACAAACTTTTTCAAAATTGCTCAAATCTGATTGAAATTTGTTACAAAGAGGTTTTTGGGGTTGCTGATTACGAATCTGAAGTCAGATGCAAAAAATTCAAAATGGCGGACTCAATATGGCGGACGAATTTTTTAAAATTTACTCCGATTTGCTTGAAATTTGATACTCGGGAGTTTTTTGGGTCGCTGATTACGAATCTGAATTCTGTTTCAAAAAATTCAAAATGGCGGATCCAATATGGTGGACAAATTTTGTGAAATTCATAGAAGTCTGTTGAAACTCGTTACTCGGAGGTTTTTGGGGTCGCTGATTACAAATCTGAAGTCAGTTTCAAAAAATTCAAAATGGCGGATCCAATATGGTGGACGAATTTTGTGAAATTCATAGAATTCTGTTGAAACTCGTTACTCGGAGGTTTTTGGGCTAAATCTACTTCGATTTAGCATTTTTTCAAGTCCCCTTTTCGGCGATTTTATGGTTAAGATTTTATGGTAGATCAGTTTTAAACAATTTATTTATATCTGCAGTTCCAGTGGTTAGCTTTTTGATTCTGAAATATATTGTTGTTTGAGAGGGAGCAAAACCTTGCTGGTGAGGAAATAGGTCTGTTATCAAAATTCCGAGCGAAATAAAATCTCGGAAAGTTTACACAAAAAACAACACTTTATTGCTGATCAGCGAACACACAAGATTTACACTTAAGAAGGTGAGAATTTCCTTAGAGTTTCTAGAATTGTCTTGTGTTTCTCAGCTGGCGGCAATGCCGGTCTGAGCACGTTTTCGACGCACTTGAGATTAACCTTTGATTAACTAAAGTTAAGTGATTATTAACTTAGAAAATGAACAGATTAATGCCTTGAGATAGATGAGATCTAACCTCTAGAGATATCTGGTGAGTACTAAAATTTACAGAGATGCGCGGAACGACGACGCCGTGACATGTTAGCGCCCTCACGTGTTAACTTGATGCGTAAATTCAAATTATCGCGCACAACACCAAATTTCACAATATTCAATTCACTCAGAATTGAACATACTCCCCCCCATCGGCAACGGAGTTGACGATCCATTTAGGTTGAGTTGTTGTCCTTGAGAGCTTCTTCCGTCGAGATGGGGAGCACAGCCAACTTGGTGATTGGTCGTTTGAGATGTGTCGTTGCAGTTTTAATTGAAACGACTCTGGTGAGACCGTCCTTGCCAGGGTGTAATGCAGTGACCCTAGCTAAAGGCCATTTTGAGGGAGGGAACCTTTCGTCAGTGAGGAGAACTAGAGAACCAACCTTGATTTGATGTGTTGGATGATGCCACTTGGAGATAGCGAGTTGTTGTTGAAGATAACAGGTGGACCACTTCGCCCAGAAAAATTGAGCTTGTTGTTGAATCAATTTCCACCTTGTTAACCTTGAAGTTTTCAGGTCCAAGAGGGATGGTTCCGGTATTGATGTGAGTGGTTCCCCGATGAGAAAATGTCCTGGTGTGAGAACTGACAAGTCGTCAGGGTCCTCTGTAAGAGGTTCCAATGGTCGGGAGTTGAGAACCGCTTCGATTTGCGTAAGAAGAGTCGTAAATTCCTCGTACGTCAAAATCGTCTCGCCGATCGTCCTTCTGAGATGATACTTGATTGATTTCACGGCAGCTTCCCATTTTCCACCCATGTGTGGAGCTGCTGGAGGGTTGAATTTCCAGGAGGTGCCGTCCTTGATCAGTAGTTGAGAGAGTTCCTTGGCTTCTTGAGATCCGTCCTTGAAGAGTTGCTTGAGAGTAGTGTCCGCGACGATGAAGTTGGTACCACAATCACTGTAGAGTGTTTGACAAATACCTCTCCTTGAGACAAATCGGCGGTAGGCTGCGAGAAATCCGTTGGTGGAATAATCCGTCACTACCTCGAGATGCAGAGCCGATGATGAGAAGCACACAAAGAGACAAATCCATCCCTTTTTCGTTTTAGCTCCACGACCTGTCCAGGATTTGAGGGTGATTGGACCGGCTTAGTCAACCCCAGAAGTGAGAAATGGCCTTGAAGGGGTGATTCTTTCCAAAGGTAGTTGACCCATGAGTTGTTGAGCACGAATTCCTCTTTGTCGAGCACAAGGAATGCACTTGAGAATGAATGACCTTACTGGTTGTCTTCCTCCGATGATCCAGTAGGAATTCCTTAGATGAGCCAAGGTGAGTTGAGTTCCTCCGTGAAGAGTCCTTGAATGAGCATCCGCTATCAGAAGTCGAGTGAGGGGAGAATCCTTGGGTAGAATAGCAGGATGTTTGCTTTCGTGATCCAAACTTGAGTCTTTGAGTCGACCTCCGACTCTGAGAATACCTTGATGATCGATGAATGGATTGAGTTTGGAAAGCGGATGAGACCTTGAGAATTTTGTGCCTCGATTGAGATCCTTGATGTCTGCTGAGAAGTAGGCCACTTGAATATTCTTGATCCAGAATGTCCTTGCAAGATCGAGATCCTTGAGTCCGATTGGGTTGGCCAGAGAAGAGTTGGGAATCCTTTTGAGAATAGCGAGAAATCTGAGGCAAATTGAGGTGATTTTTAACAATGAGTGCAGATCTGAGTATTGATGAATCAGATCCCACAATTGGGGGTGAGAGGTGGTAACAGTAAATGTTAATCCTGGTCTTTCTTCGACTTGAGCTGATGAATCCGACCTTGAGGTTGATGAGGGCCAGTTTTCCTTGATGTCCTTGAGCCATGGTGGACCATTCCACCAGAAGTGATGTTGAGAGAGTTGTTGAATTGATAGGCCCCTTGATGCACAGTCAGCAGGATTTTCTTTTCCTTTGATGAATCTCCATTGACCTTGAGGGACGAGGTCATGGATCGAAGATACCCTGTTGTGTACAAATTCCTTCCAACGAGAGGGGTGGCTGTTGATCCAAGTGAGGGCTACCGATGAGTCTGTCCACAGGAATACTGGAACTTGACATAATTCCAGGGTCCGTTGAACGTAGTTCACAAGTCGTGCCAAGAGTTGAGCAGCCGAGAGTTCCAACCTTGGAATGGTTAGACGTTTGAGGGGAGCAACCTTGGTTTTGGCACAAACAAATGTAACTTTTGATTCTTGGTTTGGTTCCGAGGTTTTGAGAAAAACAACAGCTGCCATTGCGAGTTGTGATGCGTCCGAGAATCCATGAATTTCCGTTGTTGAGGTTGATGTGAGATTGAGCCATCGAGGGATTGAGATCTCGGGGAATTGAGCTAGCTCTTCCTTGAATTTGATCCACCTTGAAGATAGTTTCTCAGATAAAGGGTCGTCCCAACCCAATTTCTCAAGCCACAGTTCCTGCAGCAACATTTTGGCTCGGATGATGACGGGAGAAAGAAATCCTAGGGGATCAAACAATTGAGATACCTCGGATAAGATAGACCTTTTGGATATTCCTTGACCTGGGAGAGATGTTGGCTCAAAGGAGAACTTGAATTCATCTGACCTTGGAAACCATGAGAGACCGAGAACCTTGGTTTGAGTGTGATCGATTAAGTGGGAATTCAAGTCGCCTTTCCTTGTTACAGCGTCGAAGAAATCGGGGTGATTGCTTTGCCATTTAGCTAGAGGGAATCCGCCAGAGTTGAGAAGATCGATGAGATCCTTGGCTATGTCCTTGAGTTCTGACACCTCATCAGAACCACCGTAGATGTCGTCCATGTATCGACCATTGAGAAGTACGGGCACAGCCAGAGGAAACCTGTAACCTTCGTCTTGAATGAGTTGTAAAAGTACCCTTACCGCCAAGAATGGTGCAGATTTTGTTCCGTAGGTGACCGTGGTGAGTTGGTAAGAGATTTCCTTGTTGTGTGTCCATCAGCTTCATATTCCGTAAGAAATGCGAAGTAGCGATCCTTGAGAAGTCCTTGAGTTGAAAATCGTTTGAAGAGCCGATGAAGACACCGTTGAGCCTTGAAGAATGAGTCGCCAAGTTGACTCGGTGATGATGAGATTGGAAGTCGAATGATGTATTTGCCCTTGGAGTCCCTTGAGTAAGTGGCCTTGAAATGCTCCTCGCATTCCAATTCTGGAGTTGTGAGTTGATCCTTTTCCTTGGTAGGTACTTCTTCTTGAGTCCAGAATTTAGTGAGAAGATCTTGAAGATCATCCAGTTGCTGATCCACAATCAGATGATGAGATAAATGTTCCTTGATTGAATTGCCATCGGTTGGTCCCAGAATTACCCAACCAAAGATGGTAAGTTGAGCCATGGGTGTTGAGGAAGGTCCCTTGATGATGTCCGGTTGAATGATTTGAGCATACACGTCCGCTCCAATGATGAGATCAACTTTCATTGGAATGGTGTAATCGGGATCGGCAAGAGGGATGTTTTGAAGATGAGACCATTTGAGAGATGGAAGAGTGGTGGTAGGAAGCGTTGACGACAATTTTGAAAGAACGTATGCGTGGAGAGAAATTGATTTTGAGGAATGGATTGATTTGAGAGTGATTGAAACAACTCTTCGAGTGTTACCTGAATTTGTTGCTCCAATGCCGATGATTGAGATGTTTGAGTGATGCCTTGTTAGATTGAGATGAGATACCGTTGATTCCGAAATGAAAGAGAGTTCAGATCCGGAATCAATAAGCATACGAACTGGATGAGGAGTACCTTGTTGAGTGATGAGAAGAGCACGTGCAGTGGCGAGGAGAACCACTGGCCTTGAGTGAAATCCTTCGCCGTCGAGCTGCGTCCCACGTCAATTGACCTTGGAGCTGTTTGATGTACTTGATCCTTGATCTTGATCCTTGTCCTTTGATGGTTGATTAGTATCCTTGTTGATCTTGGGTGCAGTGGATTGATGGATCATGGTGTGATGTTTACCCTCACACTCTTGACACCTTTTTTCACTCTTACACGCACTAGCACTGTGGGGTCCCAAGCAGTTGAAACAAAGGCGTTCCTTGATGACAAATTGCCTTCTTTCGGTAGGCATCAGATCTCGGAATTTCTCGCATCTGACCAAGAAATGAGATTTACCGCACATTGAGCATGATGATGATGAACATTGTTGTCTTGGGGATTGAGTGGATCCAGCGAATGCCCTTTGAGATGATGAGTTACCTTGAGATTTGCCTGATGTTGATGCTTCGTTCCTTGTTGGTTGAGAATAGCTAGAGATACTCTCAAGAGCACGAGCTCGACCAGTGAGGAAATCCTTGAGTTGAGTGTAGGTGGGGGGATCCAGCCTTGATCCGAGTTTGATCTCCCAACCTTCTCGAGTGTGAGTGTCGAGCCGTTTTGAGATGTGATGCACCAAAACTTGGTCCCATTGGTCCACTGGCAAACCGAGAGTTGAGAGGGCGTTTAACGCTTCCGTGGTTGAGGACAAGAGAGTGTTTAAACCTTGCGCGGACTTTGGGGGGATGATAGTGGTTGAGAAGAGCTGTTCCATGTGTCGAGTGATGAGTAACCTTTTGTTGTCGTACCGAGAAACGACAATGTTCCAGGCAGATTCGAAACTGTCATTGGAAACTGAGAGATTCGAGATGAGTTTGGCCGCTTCACCAGTGAGACTAACCTTAAGGTATTGCATCTTCTCCACAGTTGATATCTTTGGGTCATTTGTGACCAAAGAAGAGAAGAGATCCTTTCATGCATAACATACATTTTAACTCTCCGTCAGTCGCATCAATAAATAAAAGAAGAGTGCTGTGATAGGTACTAAGCATACGCAATTTTAATTTTATGTACATTAGAAGATTTAGAGATAAAAAAAGAAATTCAGGGTGAGGGATTTCCTCACCATGCGACTGCCGAAGGGTTAAGAAGTTTTAATATTGTTTAAAAAATACATGTTACCGGTTAGAGTTTTGTCGTTCATTCTCGTAAACGATGCATTTTCGACAACAGGTGAAGAATTGCCCACAAATTTTTCAAGCTTTATACATTTTAATGCATTTTCCTTTTCTGTATCACTGGATTCTATTAATTTAACGGCTCTTGCATGTCTCGACTTCTTCATTTTTTCTCGATTTTTCTCGTCATCACTCTCAACATCACTTGATAACACATAAAACTCTCGTTTATTCTCAGCTTCCTCCAAAGTTTCTGAAAATCCATTTATAAATTGGATTTGATCAAACTGCTAAAGAATTTTTCATTGCAAAAAAATAAATGCAAATTTTTGACTATAGATATGTTTTAACAATTAGTAGTGAGTTGATTTCTTAAAATTAATAAAAAGGAAAAATAATTTAGGAACGTTCAGGAATGTCACTTTCAGAAGAAACATCCAAATAAACTACGTTTAGAATTTAATTATTTTTATATATCGGTTTAAAAAATTAGAAAAATTATAGTACAAATACTTTGATTTTCATAAAATTTTTAAGATACACTACCGTCCGAAATTGTGTGCACTCTGCTTTTTCAACAACTATAAAACTGTTCAAATCTTCAAAAATATTAAAACTAAAATTTTTTCCTCTTTATTTTATTAAAGCTAGCGAAGAATGTGTACATGAATTGTTTTATATAATTTGAATTGCATAACAAAATACGATTTCAATGAGCCTAAGAACGTTTAAAAATATTAATTTTTGCCAGAGAAATAAAAAAAATAGTAAAAACATTGAAAATTGCGTTTTTCTTAGATATCTAATTGAAAAATTAACACATTCTCTTTGTCAAGGTGTCATTTCTTTCAGAATTTTATTAGCTTTAATAAAATAAAGAGGAAAAAATTTTAGTTTTAATATTTTTGAAGATTTGAACAGTTTTATAGTTGTTGAAAAAGCAGAGTTCGCACAATTTCGGACGGTAGTGTATGTACATACAAAAATTTTTTATTTTTTTTATAGACATTATTATTTATATTTTTAATAAAACTTTGTACTCGAAAAAGTCAAATATTTGTAAAATTACGTAATATTTATATGATTATATTCAGTCAGTTTTAGGAAAATTTTTGAGTAAAATAATTTCAAAAATAAAGTATAAGTTTGGAAAATTTTTTTACTATTTTTAACTCAAAAATATATTATTTCACTTATTTCAAACCACATTTTTTAAGACCTGCTTTGATGTATAGATTTTCAATAAATAAAATTGGTAAAATAATTCACATTTGTACAATGTAAGTATACAAAGATTTCAGTGTTCTTATATGACATAATAAAATCGAAAAAGCGATCCCATACGAGACTTGCATCCATTAAAAAATTAAGAACACCAATTTTTTATGTCACTTATATAAGAATTGTAATTTTGAAAGGAATTACGTACCAAAGAAGCGATAAGTTTTTTTCACACTCCATAGGAGACCGTTGTCAGTCCAGGTTTCATTTGGCTTCGAATTATTTGCTAGCATCTCTCTAAACATTTTGGCACTTTTAACCGGAGGAAAAAAGGTCGCAATCACGTCTCCGTTATCATCTAATTTTGCCCAGTCAAGGCAAATCACTTCAATGGCATTATCTTCAAATTTTATAATGACAAACTTATACTCCGGTTCCTTCGGTTCTTCGTTCATGGTGCCTCTATTAATATGATCATGAGGATCCCAAAAACATTATAAAGTGTTAATTACTTACGTAATATTTATTGTTTGGGGGAAAATAGTATACATTTAATTAACTGAACAGAAAATAATTAAAAAAAGACTGAGTTAAAATCCACAAAATTTATCATCAACGATTCGCAAAAATTAATATTTTTTCAATCAGGAAATAATAAAATTTTTTGTTCACAGAATTTTTTTACAAAATTATTGATAAAAAAATGTCAACAATTTTTTTCAGACAAATGTAAAAAATTATTATATAAAAATATGTTTTTTTTAATAGTTAATAATAAAAGTTAGACTTTAACTTCCCAAAAAGTGCACACACATGTTAAATATTTATTATTATTTATTACTATTTTATCCACTAATAAAATTAAAACGCTACAATTTCTTTTAAATTTTATCGATGAATAAAATTAAAAAACAAAAAATATATACATCACTTCCTGAACATATTTTTAAAAATTATTAAATAAATAAAATATTTAGTTTGTTAGATAGTTTTATAAAAGAATTTTAAATGATTTAAACGTAACTATTGAAAAAATTTTAAGAAAGCTTGAAAAATATTTTGTTACTTTTATCAAGAACGTTATTATATCGACGAGTTTCTCATGAAATTCTCCAGGTGAATAATAATAGCTAATACTGCACATATACTTTACATTTCTGAAATAAGATTAAACTATAAACCTGGTAAAGAGAAAAACTATTAATTTAAAAATATTATAAAAAATACGTATCTCAATCAGAATAAATGATATACTATTACGTACACGTGGTAAACATGGGAAAAGTGTTCCGATAAAATCACGCACAATGTTTGCTGTTTATCTATTTAATATATATCGATTACAAAATAATGAAAATAATAATAAAAAAAATTTTATAATACAATTTTCACAGAAAAGCGATAAAGATATATGCACAATAAATAATTTGACGAAAATACTTACATATTGAGGGTACACGACGAATATTCTTTTCCTGATAACCTCCAAATTGATAAAGAGAACTGATAAATATACAAGAATATTAACTATCCAAAAAGTGAAATTCGAATTTTTTTGAAGCTATCTAATGCTAAAAAACTGTATTACTTATCACTTTTTCACTTGTGTCTGTGTAGGAGACAAAATAGCTGAAGCATGTTCGTTAAAAAACTGTGCAAATGGCTGGCCGCTACTCTATCCCATGCTTCAGGTTTAGCGTCTCACAACTCTACGACGCATACTTAGAATGACGTCATTTCCTCAATATGAATAATAACATAGACCTGAATGATTTTTTAAATCTTTTCATATAAACAATAATAATTTTCACATATATGCTCAGTGTACATTATATTTATTAAGAAATAATCATTATAATATAAAATGAATAGAAAGTTTGTGTTTATGAATATGATTTGACTTGCTCAGTACAGGCAGTAAGAGGAAAACGTGTGCACACCAAGCAGTCTGCAAAGAACAGAGCTCAGCCTAGCTGCCTCGTGTTTTTGCGTTTTTCTATATCGTTTATTCAACTTATAAGTGTGCTGTTTTTTAGAGTTTTATACTGATAATGTTTTAAGTGCTGTTTGGTTAAGCAAGATCAAGTTTTAATATATGCAGAAAAGGTTAATTGTAAGTAACAATATTTGTTTTTGGTATAGCTAACCTCAAAATCATCGCATTGCATTATAACAGAAAATTTCCTGACAGCGAATATTACCTACGTTGAAAGCATAGATGTCACGTAATTCCAAGTGATAATTATATAAGCTATGTTTGTTTCTTTTTTGACAAATATTTATAAAAATACCAAACTGTTATACAATTTTTGATATATTCATTAAAAATTTAAACCCGAATATTTGACTTCCAATTTATTTCATAAAGAAATAATTAATAATTCTATTAATATATAATTATATAATAATATATAATATATAATTCTAATAAAGAATTATCTTTAAAGTTGAAAGTGTGCTCAGGGTGTTGACTAAACACGTGTATCATAATATAAACTTGATGACACATTTAATAACAAACACATACAGATACTGAAAATAGTTTTAGATTATTTATTTGCTGATCTTTCTAAATTGTTTTTAAACAAGACACATTTAATTAAAAATTTGCAAAATCTGGCGAAATTAAATCGAAAGTCATTATTTTCAGTGTGTTTAGTGCAGTTTCCTTTAAAAATAAATTGCTTCTTCTGAAAATTAAATTAATTCTAATGTATTCTTCTTAACAATTCATCTTATCCTTTTATATTTTATTAATTAAATATTTTTTTTCTTTTATAATTATTATTATATAGATTTTTGAAGATTATGTGCAGATCATTAGTTTTTTAAAATTTCTTTACTGTGAGTTTAATTTCAAACGTTTTTGCTTCAATTTTATATAAGGTAAATGTCCCAATTAGGGAACAACTAAGAATTCTGATATGCATAATAATGAAAAAATACAACTTATGTTGTTTTCTTTACAAAAAATTTATTATGAGAAAAAAATTCATTAGTTTTTAAAGGCAAAGTAAGTTTGAATAAATTTTTATAGCCAAAATATGGAAACTTAAAGTGTTTTCGTGAAATAAGATTATTGCACCTATTTGCGAACACTGATTATGTAAAGCTTTTATAGAAATAAAAATTTTGTATCAATTATTACAAATATACACTAAATTAAATAAAACAATATTTTCAACATTATTTTTAGATGATTTTCGTTTTAATTTGCATGTATGTAAAAACTATCCACATATTTTTTCATGTTCCCAAATTGGGACATTTACCTTAAATAACGAAGTTCAAAAACCGTTTTTTCACATGTAACAATCAGGGTACTAATTGGGTTAGCGTATTCCTGTAAATATTTATTTGACTTAATCTTAACTTTTAATAAATAATTATAATTTCTTTTATTTAAATGAACAGAAAATCTTTTAAAAATAATTATTTTTGAACATTTATAGCGAAATGTTTAGAAAGAATTTGAAGAGATTTCAAATTGTATTATGCAGATTTGAATGGATAAATTTGTTTTTCAAACTTCTTAAAAGAATTGATGTTTACAAAATTAACTATAATTAAAATAAATTTCAGTTACCATGGAAAAAGCTTTTAAAAAGCAACCACCAAAAAAATTTGGAGTTTCTTCACGCCGTTTTCGAAAAATTGTTAAAGAACGCTCGGTAGAGGATGCCAAGCTTTTACAATCGCAAACGATAAAATCATCAGCAGCGAGCAAGACCAGTGATGTAGAAAATTGTGATATCCCGTCTGCTTCATCTAATTTCGATTTGCCTACCTGTAGTGATAATAAATATTTATCAAATGTGGGTGATGATGGTGAGATTGATTTACATTTGGCGTCATCATTAATTGCATGCCCTATAGAAAACGAGCCATTAGAAATGCATCCCAATGTGAGTGATGATTTTATTTTAAATTTTGATTCTCACGGCAATGAGATTCTTGATAGTGATAAAGAAAACACGTGTAATGAAGACCTGAGACAGACAGACAGTGATCTCGAAGAAGACGACTCTGAATTTGCAGAATTTTCTCATGCTGATGAGACGTATGTGAAGAGCAGTACTTTTGCAATGAACCTCCGTGAGTGGGCATTAAAGTTTCACATAACTTTAATTGCCCTTACAGCATTGTTATTGTTGCTGAGAGTTTTCGATACAAGTTTACCTCTAGATGCGCGAACCTTGTTAGGTACACTCCGAAAAACCGAAACTATCGAAATGTGTGGCGGCCAGTACTACCACTTTGGTTTGAAAAGAGCTGTAGAAAACATTCTTAATGAAAGGAGACGTAAAGGTTTGCAGGATCAAAATATAAAATTGATGTTCAATGTAGATGGTGTTCCCATTTCCAAAAGCGGATCCAATTTTTTCTGGCTCATCTTATGCTCCGAAATCAACTCTGAGACTGTGTATCCTGTAGGGGCTTTTTATGGGACGAAAAAACCGGTAGATGCAAATGAATTCCTGGAGTCATTTGTTCAAGAAGCAGTCAAAGTTTGTGAGAAGGGAGTGCAAAATCATAAGGTAACAATAGAAGCCCTAATTTGTGACGCTCCAGCGAAGTCGTTTGTTTTATATTTAAAAGGGCATACTGGTTACGATTGTTGCCCCAAATGCCTAATAGGAGGAGAATGTTATAGACCGCCACCAAAGACTAAAGGGAAAAAAAAGAAAGGAAGAGTATGTTTTCCTGGCATAGGACCGTTTTTGCCGAAAACTGATGAGGGTTTTAAACGCAACGAATATAATAATTTCGAAGAAGATGTTGAGATAGTTTTAACGAAACTTCCTAGGTTTGGGTGCGTTAGTTCTATTCCACTGGATTATATGCACTTAATTTTACTTGGGGTCATGAAGAAACTAATTTTTCTTTGGGTTCACGGTAATTCGAAAGTGAAAATTCCTTCAGATGTGATACAGAGAATATCAAAAAGACTTCTTTTATTGCGGAATACAATCCCCGATGAGTTCAACAGAAGACCAAGGACACTATGGGAATACAAATTCTGGAAGGCTACCGAATTCCGTACGTTTTTATTATATGCAGGCGTCATTGTACTAAAAAATTTGGAAGGATTTCCCAGCAAACTATATTCTCACTTTTTGTTACTACATACAGCAGTAACCATCTTAATAAGTGAAACACATATTCGCGATACGAGGAACATTGATTTTGCACATGAAACGTTACAGTTGTTCGTGAAAGACTTTGAAACACTTTATGGAAAAGAGTTCATTTCCTATAATGTGCACAATTTGTTGCACATTTGTGAAGACGTCAAACGATTTGGAGTTTTAGACAATTTTAGCGCTTTCAGATTTGAAAATTACATGGGAACTGCAAAGAAGATGATAAGGAAAGGAGATCAACCATTACAACAACTTGCTCGAAGATATGCAGAGGTTGAAAATGTTCAAATACACTGTTCGGCGATTGACAAGTTTATTTTGGAACACCCTCATAACAGCGGCCCTGTAATTCAAGATTGCATATCCAATCTTCCTGAGCAATATAAAGTCTTTAAAAGCAGAGGATTTACAATAAAATGTGATATGAAGAATAGTTGTGTTATGCTGAAGAACGGAACATTTTTTATGACAGAAAACGTAGGAAAATTTGGGGGTCAAGAAATTCGGTTAATTGGTCATAAGCTTTGTAGTAAAGGCAGCTTGTACGACGAGCCAGATTCAAGGCTTCTAAACATTCACATGTTACTTGAAAATAATGTAGGCGAAAGGTATTGTGTACCATTAACAGATGTCTTGTCAAAAGTATGGAAAATTCCAACATCTAAAGGAATTGTAGTAATTCCATTACTACACAGAAGAGAGCGCAAATAGATGATTTCTGTAATGTGTCATTTTTTCAATTGTTGCCTTTACATTAATCAAATGTTTAAAATTTATTTTTACTTTCATAACATTAAATTAAATTAACTGTTAGCTTTTGAATTGGAACCAATTAAAAATCATATAAAATGATATTTGTAAAAGAACACTTATTTTTATAATCACGTTTTCTGTCAATATTAAAAATTAAGTCATTTTTATTGTATACTAAATGACTGATAGTAGTATTTTGACCAACTCTCAAATATTTGATACATATGTAATATACAAGATTTACTGAAAATGTCGTGCATGTATATGCCTGAATTCCTGGACGATGACATTGAAAATAAATACAAGGTAACGTATATGAATTTAAAAAAATAACTTCAAAAAATTATTTTAAAAAATAAATATACTTCCTTTAATTAATCAAAAGAAAATATTAAATTATTGAAAAAATGAATAATTGATGTTTCAGATGATGGCTGACGTGGATATTCTTTTTAATGACTAGAGAAAAAACATTATGTATTAAGGATAAACAATGGTCGGTTGTCTACAATTCTTTGTTGCTCTGAGTTTTCAGCTATAAAATAGTAATAAACAGAAATAAATTTTTCTGTTTGTTTACAAGAAATATGTAACTCGAGTTGCACATTTCGGAAAAATAGGTGAGGTTTCTTGATAACAAAATTATCTAATTCTTAAATAATAAATATTTTAATATTTAAAATTGAAAAGAAATTCAATTATGAGTTTAAAAAATAATAATAATATATTATAATACAAGAATATTTTCAAGGTTTTTAGGCTTACAAGCTAAAGCAGTTTTAGTACATTCAAAGCACACTTTGAAACTTGTATTTGCTCAGAAGAATTTCAAGAAGGCAATTTGCAATTGGCACAGGAGTCTACGGGTTTAGACAAAAGATTTTAATGGATTAGAATTTTGCAAAAAGGTGGTACATAAAATTGAAATAAGAGTAATGTAATGTGAAAAAAGGAAAACAGTTTGTTTTTTTTCAAAGTTATTAAAGTAAAATAGGAAATAGTAAAAACAAGAAGAATAAAAATAATGAAAAACGATGGCCAAAATATTAAAAAAGTCAATAGACAAGAAAATGTCATAGCGAAAATACATGACGGTTTCGACAATATTTTCTCGATAATATTTATCCGAACAAATTCTTCTTCCTCTAATAAAACACTATTTCCAAAAGGTTTTTTTAAATTTTTTTTCTAAATTACTAACAAAATGTTTAAATATATGTATATTTTACTTCCTGACAAAACATTATATAGGCGTTTGACCACTTTGACTTGCCACCCTTCATTTATACATTACATTAAGTCTTAAAAAATGCAGTTTAAAATAAATAAAATAATATTTTTTTGAGTTGAAGTCTTAAAAAATTATTCTAACTTAATGAGTTCTATCACAAACAGAAATAATGAAGAGTAAATTATAATTTGTAAAACTTGGTTTACTGCTTGATTGCATTTCATTTTAGTAGTCTTAAATATGAAATTGTAAAAACATAACAAACAAATATAACTATTCTCTTTTCTAGTTCAATTTAATCAGATAAAATATATTTTTAAAAATGGAAAACGTTTTTTAAAAATTGTGCAATAACTGGGAATAAATAGAAAAAATTGTTAAGCAAAACAATTATTACCATTGCTATAAAAATTTAATAAACGTTATTATTTATTTAGTACATGAATATAATAAACTATAAAAAAAAATAAAAAACTAATTAATGAATTTTCTAGTTAATTAAAATATTGTCGCTAATGTTAATAACTTTATTTAGCATTTGAATTAATGTATTATAAAAAAACTAACGACAAATCAAAACAACTTTCAATAAGAATTATATTCACTATTCTTAGAAATTATAATTTGAGATTAATGTTGTATTATTTAATATAAACCGCATTATGTACTCTTAAATATTTACGTTAAAAAAATTAATTCATTTCAATAACGGTCTATAAAAAATGTATTTCTTTTTCAATAGATGAAGAAGAAGGCTTTCAACAAGTGCAAACTATTTGAGACAGAATAAATTTTACCCAGTGATAGGGTAAACTGACCCTCAAATTTCAGTGACGAGAATAAGGCACCCACTACAAATACAAATGATTCTCAGAAGAAAAGAAGTCTCCCAAAAACAATAACTGATGCAGATGACATCAATAGAATTAGGCATACGAATGAAAATACTATCAGCGAAAATACCATGTCCTCTTTTTTTCATTTCTCTTCACTCTAAGGTCATCTGGAATATTCTTAATTTTTTTTTGCACGTACACAGAAGCTGCTCTGTCAATACTGAAGTCGAGAAGTGAGACGTCAAAAAGTATTGATATAATTATCGGCAGTTGGCTGTCGAATTGTCTTCTCAGAAGTAAGAGGAAAGAGAAAGTCAATAATTTTACTAAGACTATGTTAATAAATAAACTTTTCTGTGTCTATGCTTTTTATAAATTTTAATTTCACTGTTTTTTAGGATTTCACCAGTGCAAAGTATTCAACTATGAATTAAAGCGAAGAGTTGCGGGACAACGGAATGATTGACATATTTTGACGAAAAAGTTGGTGAAAAATGCAAAAAACGGCATCGAGTTCCCAGAAAAAGGGGACTAAGGTTTATTTACATTAAACGTAAGGGAAAGAATAAGAATGGAATATTTATCTATACATTTCTTAAGGCCCCAGAAATGCAGACCTCCAGAAAAAAATAATTAATGAAGATTTAAATAAATGAAATAATATTATTAATTGTATTTTCTGAAAGAAGAAATATTAAATTTCAAGAAAAAATTTGAAAACCTAAAAAATTTATTTGTTTATATAATTTGCATATGATAAAAAATGTCTATCATATCGCTAATAGGGAATTTTTAAAAATGATTTAATTTTAATGTAATACGACTTATTTTGTTCAGAAAATATTTCTATACAACTTCACCGTGGCGATTTTTAAAAAAAGTGACTTGTTTGGAAAATTTTGCTATTTGTTTACAAAAATCCAAAAATTTTTTTTAATAAACAGCCAAATTTTCCAAATAGGTTGCTTTTTTTAAAAATGACCTCGGTGAAGTTGTAGAGAATCATTTTCTGAAAAAAATAAGCCGTATTACATTAAAATTAAATCATTTTTAAAAAATTCCCTATTAGCGATATGATAGAAATATTTAATCATATGCAAATTGTATAGACAAATAAATTTTCTAGGTTTTAAATTTTTCTCGTGAAAATTGATATTTCTTCTTTCAGAAAATACAATTAATAATATTATTTCAATTAATTAAACCTTCATGAATTATTTTTTTCCGGAGTTCTGCATTTCTGGGGTCAAACCACCTTGAAAACCAATCGAAATTCTAAAAATCATTATAGTTTGACAAAGAAAATATTAATTTTTAACTTACATATCTAATGAAAATCCAATTTTTAACTAATTTTGAATTTGTTCAAAATTATTTTTGTCATTTGTAGAAGAAAGGTGCATGTTTTTTTATTCTTTTTTTTTTATTTTCAAAAATTATTTTGTTTTTATTTTATAAACATATTTTTAATGACAAACAACTCAAATTATTGAAGAACACTAAGAAAACTCATTGTAAACTATTCTTATAAAAATAAAATGCTAAAGTAAAAAAAAATGTTGAAAAAAAATTTTTTTAAAGAAACTTTTACAAGTATTTCATACTTTATATTAATTATATACGGAAATTCTAGTATAATCAATAATTTTTTTATTTAAATTTTATTAGAAATATGTAATATTGATTTTTCAATTAAAAAAGAGCCATTATACGGCACAAATTATACCATCTTTTGACTGTTATAATTAAAATTTTAAAAAAGAGAAATTTTTGTGAAACACATTCTTTTTCTTTAAGTGAATTTATTTTTCAAATACTTTTCATTCATCAATTACTCTTAGTTTAATTAATTTATTATACTTTGTTACAGGTCTTTCCGAACTACAGACTTGGTGGTTTAACTTTTTCTTCTGTTCTTATTTTTACTTATTTTCATATATAATATTGTTTTAATCACGACAATTTTTGTAATATACGCTGTATTTGATGTGCTAACAAAATGGGTTACTGTTAAATATCATTTTTAAATAAAGAAACAGATAAAGCTATTTCCCTTTTTCAATTTTTCACCATTTATGTTATTATTAAAATGTATTTGAATTAATATTTTAATTCAATTTCGCTTGATTCACCACAAGCTTACCACAACATTACCGTGTAAGCTTACCGCGAACTTACCGTGTAAGCTTACCATGACATTACCGTGTAAGCTTACAGAGACTTTACCACGTAAGCTTACAGTGACTTTACCATGTAAGCTTACTACGCCCTTACCGTGTAAGCTTACCATGACCTTACAGTGTAAGCTCACCTTGGCTTTACAGTGTAAGCTTACTGTGAGGTGGAACTTTTAATATCACCTTATGTTTACTATAGGCTTACATGGTAACCTTACAAACCCTACAGATGTCCTCACAGTAGCCTTATAGCAAGAAGTCGTGCTATGTGGGTTGTCACATTTTTCTTTTATTTATAATTTTTATTGCGGACCTCCGAAAAATCTTAGGGTTTTGTAGATATTCTTTTAATAACGTAATTTATCTTCGGTTAAAACATGAACTTCGTTCTTAAAATAATAATTAAAAATTTTTTTGCCTAAAAAGGTTAAAGCAAAGACTTGAAAAATTTTCTATCTATTTCTATTCTCATAAAAAGATGTGATATTGTTTTATTAACTTTAAGTTCCAGAATTAACCCTAACTCAGAGAATCGTCGAGTCTCACATATATTAAAAATAAATTTTTTAAAAATATGCCCGCAACGATTTACAGACTAAAGTCAGTGGATTAACCCATTACAAATACGTAATTTATATCCATTTTCGTAATTATTTTTTATAAAATTAATACTGTTCGTTTTGTCTATGACATCAATAATGAGGTAACATGGTCACACAATTCTTACTGATGGGTTAAATTATTCAGATTCATTAAGTTTCACATTCAGTAAGAGTAAAGATTTGCAATTGCACAGATGTACTCAACATTTTTCATAATCATATGC